AAACCGCCTGCTTTATGTTATATATCGGAGCTCCGCTGGTCTTGTTTCTCGTTTGCGTTGGTAGTTTAACCTCCATAGGGGATTGCTTCAACTCACCACCTTCTGGACCTCAGGTTGCATAGCTGTGATTACATAGCTCAGCAGACAGCCATTGACAGCCCCAGTGCCCAAAGAGCCCGGTGCTCAATCCACTTATTGTGCGGGTTTTTAATTTTGTTCACGTTGACAAGGAATAATTTCAAAACATGATCTTGTCCCATTGTTGGCCGCCGGCTTCTCAGAATGTGCAGCTCTTGGACATGTTCTGCGGAAAAAATCTTTGACAAATGCATACCGTTGGGACCTCAAATTTGGAGTTCTCGTGCGTTGAGGTTCTAGGCATGCGGCATGGATAATGTTCAAAAGATTGGAGCATATTTTCGTGACTCCACATTTCTTATTGAATCCCCATACATTATTCATCATTATTCTTGGTGATAACTTCCAAACATAGCTCGATCTTAGTCAATTTCACAAACCCAAGTTGGCCCTTGAAGTTCCCCCTCTGCAGGCGAGCATCAACTGAGGACGCGCTGCCCTCAAGCCAAACTCAGTGTATCTTCCATCTCCACATTGCAAAAAACTTGTGCCTTCGTTGGACCGCTTTTCCAATTGCAATGCGCGACATGTTTGAGGTTATCTTATGATGTGGAGTTACAACCCCGCAGTCACGACCTGACCTCTGTGCACCTTGTCTGGTGTGAGGAAAGGTGTACCGTATAAGAGTAAGCAGGTGAACTCTCAGAAAGTAAACTTGCGCTAGAGGAACTAGCAGCTAGGATGAAATTGACATACCACAACATGGCATAAACAGCAGAGCTCATAGATGGATCGCCAGTCGATCAAATTCAGCAATGTGGTGGGATGATGTGTAGTAGTGACTGTAACCAATGGAATCCACCTCTTGAAATATATTTGGGATACCTCATTTTTAAAAAATGGTGGGTCAGTTTGCGGAATTAAAGGTTCTGGAGGATCTAGATCATGTATGAATTGAATTTAAACATGATAATGACGATATATGGAAAATCGATATAATACCTATCACATTCGCCGGCCGCTCAGGCCTGGATGGTTTCGAGGAGTCCAATGGACATTACGGTTGGTTGAAGACGGACTGTTGCACGGTGGTCCGCCGTGTGGGACCTATGTTTGGGTGAATCGAGGGAGCAGCAAAAGAAGTGCTCTCTCACCGGACGGTGACCTGTCCGTTCCCAGTGTTGGCCTAGCGAATTTGCTACTTGTTTTCTTTCAAGAAAAACATTTTTCAGGCTGCGTTTCAATCAACACCTACTAGGTTGGATATGATCCTTTCGATTTTGGTCAATTTGCTTCCGTTCCCAACCCGGCTGAGGATCACAAGTAGGTTCGTTCTCTTGATGATCATAGCATGTGCCAGATGCTGCTACACATGCGTGGAGCAGCCGCGCTCTTCTCTGATGCCGTCATTCAGTCCGATGGAACGGCTCCAACATGCACTCAAAGGGCTTCTTCCATGGATCCAACAGAGTTTGTTTCTGGAATTTGCAAAACAAGAACGTTTGACTTTGACTCGTATGTTTCCACTTGGAAGGGCCTAGAGTCTATGATCAATCAAGAGGGTGTATGCCCGAATTTGGTTTCTGCACTTCTCCTATCTTCTCATTCCTGTCTGCGCTGAGTTGGATGTGCTCTTGGGGATCGCCTACAGCGAAGCCATCTATGAATTTCGGTACAGGGTGCCAGGCTCAAGTGGGTAATGGGGGTGCATCTTAAAAGCACGTCTGTTGGAAAACCGACAGCACAGGTTTGATGCGTCCAAGTTGCTGGCTGAGACATCCGCTTCAATCTTGAACATATTGAGGCCTTTCGTCCTCGGCTTGTACCGCAAGTTCGGCAAGAAGGAACGTGCCAAGCTCCAGCGGCGATTGTTGAAGAAGAAGAACCACAAACTTGTTCGTAAATACATTGACTCCAAGGGTGTTACGCGAGTGAAACTTGTATGTGCAAATTATGTTCTTTGATGAAATTGATGTCAGTGGACTTTGATGGGAGTGGGGAAATATTCTACTATTTTAATCTTCCTGGAAAACCAAGTTCATAAACAATCTCTTCACTACCCCGGTGGCATCTCAGGCAAGGGCTGAAAACCCTAAAGGCATCTGCGATTTATCCTAAAGGATATGGACGCAAAGTGCGGGATCTCCATCTCGAGCATGTGGTTTCTCAGCAGATTTTTTTAATTTTGGAAAAGTTTCAATCAACAACCAGTGATCTCTCGAGTCTGAATATATGTTTCCTTGAATTCAGAAAGATCGGGTCCAATACTTTTGTTTGCCATCCCAGGCGAAGTATCCTGGTGACCTTCGGGGGAAATCTATGGTGATGACCCGCAGCCTTCAGCTGCAGCACCACACATCCGAATGCTGGTCAAGAGTGCAACCCCACTTATTGCTTTTTTTTGGTTCCAGCAAGTTTGTAATTTTCCCGTTGGCTTGACTTGCCATTATTACCCAAAAACCTACATCAAGCAATCAACTCAACTTCTTTTTGCTATAGGTGGCTGCGGCATCATTACCCCACATTCTCCGACTTATCCACCCTCCTCTCCATCACCACCGCTGCCCAGGCACTTGCCCATGACCAAAATTGGCTGATGGCTGACCTGGGAGCCATCCGTGGCTTTTTGCGGGCGGAAAGGGACCGGGGAAATTTTGTTCCCGTGTTCCGAGAAGGCCTTGACTGACTAAGTCACATTTGGCCCTGATTTAATTCATGAACAAGTCAGATCACACTTTCAATAGCTTGATGTTCTCTGCATCAGGATGTTGGTGCTCATCCACACATGGGAAACACACAACAACTACTGGAATCTATGAGGCACTGTGCTTTTTTCGAACTGATGAGACCCTCAGTCTTTCCAATGTGGTTCTCATGTGTGCACAACCAACCTTTTGTGCTACTGCGGTTTCATGGCTGGGAGAAATCATAACTGGAAAGCGTCCATGTTAAAAAAATGAGAAAAAAACGTTTGGGAACACTAGGGGACCGTGACGCGACCGTGACGCATCCGTGGTACGGCTATACTTTGCCGTGGTACGGCTATACTTTGCCGTGGAACGACCATACTTTGCCGTGACGCATGCGCCCCCAAAAATAACATCAAAATTGGGTGGAATTTGAAAAAACACCAAAAAAGCAATTGAGGGCGTATCCACATGTTTTCCACGTGCCTTGGATTCCCACCCGTTGGCTCCCAGGCGGACCAGATGCTCAAATCAACAAAGTGTATCATTGAATTATTCCTTAAAATATGTATATGATATAATGTCGCTATCATCGGTATTTTTTGGACCTCTCGGTTTTGTTGGCGTCTCAGTAGTATACTACTGTGAGCCTTCATAGGTTCCCGCCATGGATCCCGAGATTGCCCGAGAAATGGAGCAAGCCAGGGCACGAAAGGACAGGGCACGTCGCAAGCTTCAGCCTGAACTTGAAGCAGTTGCAGGAGGCTGGCCCAACAATGGGCTAGTGGTCAACATGGTTTGCTTGGGGTTGATATTGTTTCAACGCAAGCTTCTGCTATAAGTTTTTGCACAGACAAGCCAGAAGTAAGAGATCACAATTCCAACTGCTGGCCACTAGCTACAAGCTGAAAGGCGTTCAGGGCTTTGGTGTGCCACAATATGCCACATCCATTAAATCCTACTGAAGGTGTAATTGCTGGTTCGCAATACATGTGTTATATTGGTTTGATGTCCTTGAACTGCCCAAGCTTCAACTTCCCTCTCTCAAAATCTCTGTCCATGTGCCAGGGAAGCCAGATCCTACTTCACCTACGACCTCTCAGGCCTCAACGGTTCCAGGGGATGATGCTGAGGCTAAAAGGTTGGCTAATGAAGGGAACAAAGCTCGACTCGCAGAGATGGAAAGAGAAGCCTACCAGAAACGCAAAGCACTTCAAAACACATGCTCTAAGTCAACTGACAAGGCAGCCGAAAAAGTGGAGAAATTGCGACAGGTAGGGTCTCAGGAAATCTTTCAAGGCCAGCCTGCTCGTACCTCAGCCAAGACAATGCCTACCTCGGCCACGACAAAACCAGCTGGAAAGGGACCAAGGAAGTTGAAGGGAAAAGGCACATGTGCCAAAAAAGGCAAGAGCAAGTGTAAGAAAGCAACAGCAAAGAAGAAGCAGCATGCAGGCAGCAAAGCAGCAAGCTTGAAAAACCCACCGAAGAAAGCTTTGTCCCCACCACAGGTTCCTGTTGTCCCCCCATCAGAGGCTCCTGTTGTCCCCACATTAGAGGCTCCTGTTGGTGGGGCTACTTCAAAAGTGAAAGAGGAATCTACTGGCAAGGCAGTAGCAACTCCAGCAAGGTCTCAGGTGGCACCCCCACCCCCGGTGACTCCCTTGCCAGCAGGTCAGGCCCTACCCAGGTCCGACACTGGAGAACTGGTGCGGGACATGCTGAACAGAGCCCCGACTCAGGAACAGATCTCCCCAACTTCAGCCCAGCTCCCGGACACACCGCAGCAGACAGAACAGACCCGCCAGAACCAGCCTGCCACGCCTTCTGAGACCAAGCCAGCACAAAAGCCAAGGGATCCAGAACTTCACCGCCGAAAGATGAAATTTTACAGAAGCCTGGAAAGCCAGGGCCTTGTTTCAACACATCGTGACTTCATGTGTGTGTGTTGTTGATTAATGTCCCACGGTTTTAAGGACTAGGGCCGGAAGTCATCAGCATCATTCATTGGACAATGGATTTACCAACATACACATGTCAATATGGATATTTGTATATATTAATTATTATTCTTCGATGCCTAGGTCCGAACTCTCCCGCCGAAGTGCGAGCTTTAGCGGAGAAAGCCAGAGCAGGCCTATAAGGGGGGTTGATGTAGAGTACACACTCCCAAAGCAATGTGATTCGAACATACCCAAATGGTGGCTAAATGTATGGGGTTCATACGCCCACCAGGCGTCAAACAAGTGACCGTGATCTTTGCTAGTTGATGGGCTGTATATCGACCAATCATATTATGGGTTCGTGCCGTTCCAAAGCCCTGGATTCTTTCTCAACCCATCTTGCCTTGACCCGGTCAGGATCGAAGAAAAACGAGAAACTTCAAGTTCTGTTTGAGGAATGGGCAGGAAGTGAACAGGATTGGAACAAATCCAATCTCATCATCCAGATGAGATCGCGAAACAAGCACAGCAAGAAGGGATGCCGCCGCTGGCTTACTCAAAGAGAGATTGCAGACAAGTACGGCTCAGCAGAGATCGCTGCTGACATAGTGAGACTCAAGCTGGAGGATCACAAGGCCCGGGCATTCACTGTCCGTGACCATCCAGATCTTCCTGGACGGGAAGATATGCGACAATTCCTTGTGTTTGACTACTCCGAAGAGACGGATGAAAGAGATGAAATCCTTGAAAGCCTTTTCTCGGTGGAAGATGGCTCAGACAAAGACGATGTGCCTACCAGTTCTGTCCGCGGCCGCGGCCATGCCAAAAAGAAAGATTCCCGCAAATCCAAGAAGAGGAGACGCCGATCCACCTCTTCGTCCAGCAGCTCATCCACCCGCAAAAGCAGCAGCTCTGATTCCAGCAGATCTTCTCACTCTGCAAAGACTTCAAAGACCAAGGTTAAGAAACACGGCAAGAAAGCGAAAAAGGAGAAGAAGGAGAAGTACAGTCCTGATAAAAGCAGAGACCGAGAGATGACCGAAGCACAGAAGAAGAAAGCCGAAAAGGCCAAGGCAAAGGAGGAGGAAGCCCAGCGCAAAAAGGCTGAACGGGAAGAGGTAAAACGGCAGAATGATGAGAAAAAGGAGATGCAAAGAGCAGAGGAGCGCAAAGAGAAAGAAGAGAAGCGACAGATTGAAAAGGAAAAGGATCGGAAGCGATCACTGGCCAAGAAGGAGCCACTGTGATGTACCACGTTAATGGGAACCTATGGTAACCAATGGCGTTTCCTATGCACGCATACGTATTCTAGTTCAGGCAATATTCCACCCAAGTCCTCAAATTCCTTTTTGGAGGCATCATATCATAGCCCGTTTTTCCACAAATAAGTTGGCTTGCTCAAGTCCCCTCGTCCCTCGCCTCCATTGCACAGGAGATCGGCACTTTGACGCAGTGCTTGCAAGATGTCGCCAAGCGATTTGCGCAAGCCATCCATCTGTCAAAGCCTTGGATGGGACAATTCATCGATATTTTGAAAGGTTTTCAACGTTATTCTAACTCAAGTGGTTTCAGTCACCAAATGCGTGATTGATGTGCCCCAACACCAATAGATCCAAAAAACAAGGCCTAGTGACTCTAGTCTAGTGCGTGAGGGTTGCACGCACCCACCAAAAAGGTTCACTACTATCATAATTTATCATAAAAGTGAATCTATTGTCTATCATAATATGATATTCATCATTCATCATGATATAGTTTGAGTCATCAAGATACTTTTGCTTGGTCCAGGTGGTCTGTCTTTTGGATTTTTCATCTACGTGAAATCTATCAGAACCCCTTCATGTAACAATCACACCTCATGGCTGAACCCTCCAGAATTTATGGGATCAAAAGATGTTGTAAGATAATCCGCTGGCTGTGGTGTCACCCACCCCAAGCTACATCAACATCTTACAATGGTTTTTTATGCGTTATTTATTATAGGAAAAATCCTATTTATTAAAAATCAATACGTCCTTTTCCAGCAGCCACTGGAAAACACCAGTCGCAGCCCTACCATCCACCATCGCCCATGGCCAAGGTCGCCAGCTTTGAAGAAGGCTATTGAAGAGGACCTCACGGAGGATCAGTCCAAGTTGACCAAGCACAGGACATGTTTGGAGAATCTGCTGGGAAAAGATGAGGTGGGGTACCGCGGTTGCCCGATCTAGGGGTGGTAACAACCTGAAATCAAACCAAATCGTTCGTTGAGGTTAAATTGGCTATTCAGTTTGGCGCAGATAGGAAAACAGATGATAAAACATAATAATCTTATATTCTCTAAATTGCCGTTTCCTTTTCATATTTTTCCTGTTTAGAAAGGTCTTAAACTAATTTCCATGGGGTGTCTGCCTAGGTGGACAGCATGGCATCTACTGCATCTGCAGCCGCGGAGGCTGTGAGGATGTACAAAGTGAAGAAGAGCCGGCAAATTTGATCTGCTAACATGGCTGGAGAATCTAACGGTTTGAGATATGGGGTAAAATGAGCACGTGTGCTAGGGCTCAATGCATAGAGTGTTGCCATATCTTACCTTTCGTTTCGAAGTAGTTTGGGGTAGTCTCCAAAAGATGTTAAAACATAAAACGAAAAGTAAACTAGTGCTTTATATTTTCCAAAAGGATTTCCAAAGTGGCGGCATGAGCGTGAGCCCTGCTTTTCACATCGTGAAGTCCCTACGACAATTTCTTTGTGTGCCGTGCCAATTGCGCACATGGGATTCTAATTTACATTTTGCTATCACCGTTTGCTGGCGTGTGGGGACCATCATACTGACACGTTTGGTTTTATCATGGTGGATCACCTATCCCTCCGACAGAAAGAACCACTCACACATATATACCATATATTGCAACCAAAAAAATCATATTGTTTGATTTGATGTTTTGTATGATGTTTGCATCGCTTCACCCCAAACGCCATCTCTCCAAACGGTGCACATTGAAAGCGTTAGAATTTCCATCTTGGGCTGGGGCAATTTAGGTTGCGTGCCAACATGGTGCACCAAGCAACATGTGAAGTGAAAACATCAAGCCGTTTGTGGGTCATTTATGGGTCTTTGGTGGGCAGATATTTCACCCCAAACAATCTGATAGCAACAATCGTTAAGGGTATATAATAATACGATACAATCCTGAAATCTTGACACTATAACTTTTATAATATGATAAGCCATTGTTACCCTCAAAGATTGTCGCCCAACTTCAAGGATTGGGGTCATGTGCCAACCCTGCGCAGGTGATCACCGGGCCTGGGTTGCCCAAAATGAGATAGACAAGGTTGCTGCCGGAGCTCCTCAGTTCATCTGTTGGCTTGGGTATCACCCTCCATGTGTTATCCTCAAAGTAAAATATATCTGGGATATATCTGGGATATATCGGGAAATAAAATCTGGATGGATACGGTATGTGACATATAATCCCAAAAAAGTGGGGTGTCAACCTATTGTTCTTCATATGGGTTAATATTGGTTATTCCCCACCTGCCAGGTGAGGGTTGTTAGATGTTATCAGAGTTGTTCTTCTCCTTCTCCTCCTCCTCCTCCTTCCTCCTCCTCCTCGTCCTCCTCCTTCTCCTCCACCACCTCTGCCTCCACTCCCATGTTCACTTCCGCCTTGCCAACTCTTCGCCAAGCTCTTCGCCAACTTCCGCACGCAGTGGGCACTGCTGGTCCTCAACCTGGGACCTGCCGAGTTCAGTGAGCACCGCTGGACCTCAACCTGGGACCCGCCGAGCTCAGTGAGCACCGCTGGACCTCAACCTGGGACCTGCCGAGTTCAATGAGCACCGCTGGACCTCAACCTGGGACCTTCCGAGCTCAGTGAGCACCGCTGGACCTCAACCTGGGACCCGCCGAGCTCAGTGAGCACCGCTGGACCTCAACCTGGGACCTTCCGAGCTCAGTGAGCACCGCTGGACCTCAACGGCCAGATAGAATGCCAGAAGATATGCCAGATAGAATGCCAGAAGATATGCCAGATAGAGAAGATATGCCAGATGGTATGCCAGAAGACAGTGCCAGAATGTTTGCCAGATAGAATGCCAGAAGATTTGCCAGATAGGATGTCAGAAGATATGCCAGAAGATATGCCAGATAGAATGCCAGATAGAATGCCAGAAGATATGCCAGAACATATGCCAGATAGAATGCCAGAAGGTATGCCAGATAGAATGTCAGATAGAATGCCAGAAGGTATGCCAAATAAAGTGCCAGAATGTTTGCCAGATAGAATGCCAGAAGATTTGCCAGATAGAATGCCAGGTAGAATGCCAGAAGATATGCCAGATCGAATGCCAGAAGATATGTCAGATAGAATGCCAGAAGATTTGCCAGATAGAATGCCAGGTAGAATGCCAGAAGATATGCCAGATCGAATGCCAGAAGATATGTCAGATAGAATGCCAGAAGATTTGCCAGTAACAAATCGATAAATGTCATGGTGGGGATCACACGAAGTATTGTAATTTTGTTCTATGGGCTTGTCACCAGATAGCAGTTATATAATATTACCCTACAGATCACCACATAGTAGTTATATGTATATTGGAAAAACGGTAGCACTTTTAACAACTGGGCCTAAAGGTCGACCTACGGTCTAAGGGGTGAAAAGTACCCGCACCAGAGACATGAAAATTCAAGTCTGCTCCAATGTCAGAGCTGGTTTGGGTGTATCTAATATTCACAACCCTTCTGTAAAGTCGCGCAGTTTCCTAGCTGCCTGTACACACCTTGACCTGTGAGTTCAAGAGGTGAAATGACGGAAATTGTTGTACAGATTTGTAATCCGTTCCTCTCGCTCAGCTTCGGTCAATCTGGTGTCCTCCCTAGTGATGATCCTTCGGTTTCTGAAGGAGAAAAGACCCATTTGGGTGTCGAATTCCAATTCGTAGTCACCATAGGTGTCAGATCTCTCACGCAGCAGATGTCGAAGGACTCCATCAGGGCGCGTCGTCACCAGGAAGAGCTCGTCGGACTCCTGATAGTCGCCAGGCGCAGGAATGCTAGGAGCATGCCGCTCATAGAGCACCAAGATGTCTGACAGCGGGACTGGAAATCCATACCGCTGCATCTGCACATGAAGGTAGACTTCCATGTTGTTACCTTCGATGCTCATGATGTGGATGCGGTTGCGCATTCGGGCATCCCTTCTTTCATGTTCTTCCATGTCTGAGGTGATCTCTTCTATGCTCCATTGCTGCAGCTGTCCAGGATATATGTACTCGTTCAGCACGTCTTCGTCAATCTCTTCACGTGAATCATCTTCATCTCTGGATCTTGATGCTGTTTCGTCTCTGGATCTTGAAGCTGTCTCATTGAACTCTCTCTCGATGAATTCACCTTCAGGTTCTGGAAGTGCTGGTCGATTGTCTGCAATCCTTGGTCTGTTTGGAGATGGTTCTTCTGGATGTGGACCAGCTCGTCTGCGAAGTGTTCGGTAGAGAATATCTATATCTCGCAAACTTTCATTCAGTTGAATCTGCAGCTCCATCACGTTGTGCTCGGTCTGAAGCAACCTGTCAACCAAATTTGCTCTCGTCAAAGAGCGAACTGCTTGGGCTGTTTCAGCCTCAAATCTTTCATCCATCTTTTTCAAACATTTCCACAAAGCAAAAATTGCATAGGCCGCCATCATGCAAAAGGTGGTGAGAAAGAAAATCGCCACCTTCTGTGCGTTGAATTCTCCGCTGCTCTCTCCATGGCCGTCAGGCTCGCATTGGTCTTCTGCTTTTCCACTCGTCCAGCTCACTGCACAAAGTAGAGCCAGCAGCATGTAGTTGGATCTTGTCGTTGGTGTCGAGGATCTGCTTGATGTCATACTTCTGGAAGTAGTATGCCGCTGCACTGCCAAGATCTCATTTGATGTCATCTCCTTTGCAAGCCATTTCTCATCTCCATCCAGCAAATCATCTTCTGAAAGTTCACCGCAAGGTGGAAGTCGCCGTGCCTCAATCGGGTGCTTCGGCTCGTTCATGAAGACAACTTGTCCACAGGACATGAGATGTAGGAGCTGCTTCGATAACATCACTTTGGTCAATGCATCAGCAACCATCGATTGTGTTGGGACCAAAATGATCCATCTCAGTCTGCCACATAGCCGTGCTTCGCGATGTGCAAGGATGTAGATGCGCTGGGATTTGTCTTGAGGCAATGAAGACATTCCAGTCGTCAAACTGTAGAAATCCTTGCAGTCGGTCATCGCATCAACTGGCAGGAAAGGAACTCCTCGTTCTTGTAAAGCCGCCAGCTGCTGCAAGGTTGGCTTTCTCACTGGTGATAGAAGCTCTGCCAATCGCAAGCTCACCAATGATGCCGTCTCCAAGCCTGACATCGCTGCCAAAGTTTCTGAGTGCGATGTCGAGTAGCTGACTCGCTTTGCCTTTCCCCCATGGGCAAACAAAATGTGTGCGTCACCTCCAAAATGAGATTCTTTCACGTTCAGTCCATTGATGGTGTGCACCTTCTTGTCGAAGTTCAGATGGTCCTCCATCAGCAGGATGAAGATCCCTTCCTGGCTGTAGATCTTGTCCTTGGATGCTGCACTAGCATCGTGCACTGCCACCAGTCGCCAGGGTGAAGATGTCGGGATGTAGCGGTAGACGATGCCAATCTCGTCATACTGACTCATCTTGGCCTTCTTCACCACAGAGTTCGCAAGATGTAGATCTTGTACTGTAGCTCTGGTGACTTTTGATTGAAGAACTCCAACATCCGCCACCAAATCTAGTCTCGTGGCAGTGATCCACAGAAGTCCTCCAAGAACACTGCGAAGTAGTGTCGTCTCCGTCGGAGTCAAGGCTCTTGACATGTCTTTGCCAAGGTGGCTGAGGTCCAGGAGCTTCATGTTGTTGATGAACTCCTGTTGATCCATAGCATAGCCGTCCTTGATCTCGCGATAGCGACAACCACAATGTTGGAAAGGAGGTTTCTGCTCTGAGAGCTTGCCGAACTTCTTGGTCAAGTAGGCGTACTCCTCTGTGAGAAACTGATCAGTGCCAGCACAGGCGATGTCATCCACATGAGTGGTGAGGACTGCCGTCAAGCCTTGGTTGGACTTCCAGAACCACATGTTCTCGTCCAGCAGTGATTGTATTCCTCCACTGTCTCGCAAAGTGCCGTGAAGGCTCATCTGCCAAGCCAATGGCGCATCAACCAAGCCGTAGGCAGGTTTCAAACATTCCAAACCATATTCACCAAGTTCTTCCTCCGCCAGCATGAACTGCTTGTCATAGTGTGCCAAGTGTCGCCAGCAGTTTGCAGGTGGAATCAGCACTACTCTCCTGTCAGGAGAACTGATGCCCTTCTTACCGAGCTCCTCCTTGACCTTCTGGAAAGAAAATCCTTTCAGGAAAGCTCCAGACACGTCCCAAGATCTCACCTTGAAACGGTGTGTTGCCGCTGTGGACAAAACCAGCCTCTGAGACAAACGCGTTGCAGTGGTAGACCTCGTTGGCAATTCTGTCTTTTGACTGTCAAGGAAACCACGTGCACATAGTCGAGATTTTGCCTTGAGGCTGTTGTCTGGGTTCCTCTTGAACTTGCGAACCCATGTGCCATCCACAAGGACAACTTCCTTGGGCAAACTGTCCAGGCGCACCTTCTTGAAAACGCCTTCATCCACAAACTGCTTCAGCTCACTTCTGTCGCTGACTTCAAAAGAGTCCCAGTGATGTAGAAGTTGTTCTTCAGTGAGCACATCAGTCACCTCGTCCACTCGGTACATCTCACCGGTCTGTAAGTAGACCAACATCTCTGCATCAGTTCTGCAGTGCCAATGGAAAAGTGGTCGTTGAGGTCCTGATGTGGTCATGGCAAGCTGTCGCTTTCTCATCCATCTGATCTCCTGCTCATACCAAATCTCATGGGCTGGAAGTCGGACTCGTCGAGGCCGTTGCATCATCCACCAGATAGAGCTCATATAGAGCATGTGGAGGTCAGTGCGCTGCTTCTTCTTCTCGGGGGCAATCACCACAGTTCTGCTGTCTGGATCCTTCCGCTTGTGGCTTTCATCTGCCGCATCAGCTTCATGATCCAGGCTCGTAGGTGATGATGTTGAAATAGCCTCACCTTGATCTTCTCCAGGTTGTAGTGCTTCAGGAACCACTCGTCTTGAGATTCTCATGGGGATAGAGTTCTCCTCGGTCTCGAGGTTCACAAATCCATAAAGATACAAATGGCAAAGCTTGTCAATCTCCTTGTTGAAGAGCTCCTTCACATGGATGTGCGAGTCTGTGTTGTGCTCAACCACAGCGATGCCCAGTAGCCCTTCTGACCAAGTGATCAAGGTGCCTTTGGAGTATCTTGGAACCATGATGGTCTTCATTCCTTTCCCATATCTCACTCCATGCAAAGTCACCCGGTCATAATGAAAGTCCAAGAAGGCTCTGGCATCTTTGAGCATCTGTGTTGCCGCAGGGCTCTCTTCTCGTGGGAACTTGATGACCTTGGTCTCGTGGTTCTCAACTTTCATCACCTCGCCCATGGTGTAGGGGCGATATGGAGTGCACTGCTCGACCACCTTCTTCATGCGACATAGTGCTCGCTCAGCATCTTGAGATGTAGTTGATGTGGTCTCGCTCATGAACACCATGTAGCTGTCTCTGAACGGTCGAAGGTGTCGCAAACCAACCAAGTATGGTCGTCCTTGAAATTCCACAATTGCAGTGCCAGCTCCCTCATTGATCTTCAGCACAGTAGCAGGTCCACGCCAGCCAAAGCCGCCGCCATCGTCCCGAAAGATCTCAACCTTGGTTGTTCCAGGTACCATGTTCTCCACTGGCAATCTCTGTGGTCTTGATCTGTTGGCTCGGGCAATGCGGCTTTCAAGGATGGCAGCTTGAGAGGCTTGAAGAGCAATTTGACGAAGTTGTACTGCTCGTTCAAAAGCTGACTCATTTGGTGACATGCCATCATCGTGCATCTGCTCTTCTGGGTCCATGTAGCCTCTGGGCAAGATTCCAAAGAGCATTGTCACCGGTGAGTAGCCTCCAACGTTGAAAGTTGTGTTGGCTGCCATGCTGGCTTCTGAAGCTAGTTCTTCTCCTCGAACTTCTATGCCCCAGCGTCCTGCTTCTGCTTGGATCTTGGCCATCGTGAGCTTCAGGAGGTCTGTGTGCTTCTCCACAAGGCCCGTTGAGGTATGCTTTTGACCTTGAAGTCCAGAGGTCGTGCCGCCAGGCTGTCGGGCAATGTTGAGCCGCTGCAATTCCACTCCAGCTGCTACAGTCATCAAAGCCGTCTCCTGGTCGGACACCAAAGTCCTCATGGGGCCAAAGTACCTGATCCAGCTGCGCATCAAAGCGTCCAGGATGTGCTTAAGCTCTCGGCTTTCACATCTGGTGGCTATCTTGTATCTGGTCGTCTCGTCAATGGACAGCAGGTACCACTCATCCTCATACTTGAACAAGTCCACCTGCACGGTGTCGTTGAAGTGTTGGCTCAGGTTCGTGCCCTTGTACTGCGGTCTTCTTCCAGCTCTTGTGAACTTCCTGCAGATTCGGCACGTTGAGATGGCATCTGCCGCCAACTTCCAAACTTCATAGGGCATGCCACATCGCACCAGCACATTCTTGATGTCCATGTAGGGCGCATGCCAAAGACGTTCGTGCAGTCCAAGGATGAGTCTTTTCGCCGTCTGGTCGTCATGACCGGCAAGTTGTGGCAATCGCTTGAACACCCTTCTGAAGTCAAATAAGGGCTTCAAGCTGCCAGGGTTTTGCGCAGCTCCATCTTGTTCTTCTTCTTCAACTTCTGGAGGTTGTACTGGTAGAAGTTCGTCAGGAGCAATTGATGGTTCATATCCTTCAGATTGGTCATCTGGAATCAGGTCTTTTGCATCTTTGAAACCGCCAGCAGCTCTTGTAGAAGAGGAAGAGGATGAGCCCTTGTCAGGCGCGTCGCTGCCAAAGATCGCGACCAGCCAGTCTTCTTCGATGTTGATGGGCTCATTCCACTGGCTCAAGGAAAGTTCTCGTAGATCTTCAGGTTGAGAGATCTTCCAGCTGTTGACATTTCCTCGTAGTAGAAGTCGTATGGGAGCTTCTTCAACAGCAAGTTGTGGAGATGGTGTAGGTGTTGACCATGGCTGCAAACATGCCATTGCTCCCTGCACCATCATGTAGTCCTTGAAGATTCTTTGAAGCCAACCAAGAGCTGCAGGGTCTTCAAGCCAATGGATGTAGTTCTGGTCGCCCTTCTTCTTCTCAAGGACCTCGAACTTCTCAATGCTCTCTGACAGCAACTTGATGAGGCACATCTTCAAGACTGCCGTCTGCTCGCTGTCGAAAGCCAGAGTTGGATGTGAAGAAAGTTTTCCCTGCATCACCTTGGGGTTCTTCAAGGACTCCTTGCGGAAGCTGTCGAAGATGTCATCTTTGGCCTGCTGTTCGCGTTCCAGACGCTTCTTTTCACGTGGATCTTCTCCAGCTGGCCATTTGCCATATCGGCATTCTCCTGGGAGAAATGTGTGCTCCATGTTGCTGGTGGCTGCTCTGCCCATGGCACACTTTTCGCACTTGTAGTAGACGTTATGGCAATGGATCTGGTTGATGAAGCGTTTGATGTCTCTGACAACGCTCTTGCAAAAGCTTTCAGGGTACACTGCAGCTATGGTAGTTCTGTTGACTCCTTGTGTTGTGCCCTGAAGCCATCCATGCCGTCGCCCTTGATGTCCACCACATCGTGCCAGGCAATTTCGAAGACCAAAGTCGCTGTAGAGACCAGTTGGTTTGAGAATTGGTTGGCCAAGTTCATCTTGGGCGCCAAATCGGCATTGATCAGTCCTCTGTCGTTCTCCAGGTAGATCTTCAAGATGTTCCCAGAGCGCCGAAGTCCAAGGCTGCTCCAAGATGTTGCCTTTCTTGTCTTTGCAGCGCTTCTTGATCTTCTGCTTGATGAAGTTCACCGTAGGAAGTTCTCCTTCTCGTTCGCGCATCGTCTGAGCAAGGTCTCTTCTGGTAGAAGATATGGACCATGGTCTGCAGGTAGGCGATGCAAAGAGGACGTCGGGGCCGTGGTTGATGTCCTGCTCAATCTCCAGGATCAGCCTCTGATGTTCAGGGAGTGAAAGATCCCAGCCATACCTGTAGTCAATGGGAAACAGTACACAAAGTCCAGAAAGTAGTGCGATCAGACTCAAGCGTCCTGATCCGCTGCACCATTCCCATAGGTTGAATCTGTTTCCTTTTCGCTTCTTCATCCAGGATCGGGCATTCTTCGGTGTGACAGGTGTCTGTCTTGTCTTTGTGTAGAACTCCTCAGGGACACCTTTGTACATCTTCTGAAGATATCTCAGCTTTCCTTCAGGAAGATGGCCAGGGAAAATGTCACCTGGATAGTCACACTTGCTCTCATCGTACTCCTGGTTGTAGTCGTTGCCCAAGAGGACCTGGATCGGTGGTTCATCTTCTGCCACATGTTGTTGGTGAAGCTGCACTTCATCTGGGGGCTTGTCCGCCTTGTCCATGACGTTGTTCTTGGGCTCGATGGGCTTGTTGTCCTCGGCCATGAACTGCAGCTTCTCCTTGTTGTGGATCTTGCCATCGCTCTTGTTGTCGTCGTTGTGAAGGTCATTGCAAGTCTGCTCCAGCGTCGTCGCTTGGTAGGGCTTGTTCTGCCAGATCTGTTTGATCTTCTGCACCTCATCATTGGGGATCTCTGCTTCGTTCTGGTTGTTGCTCACCGGCAGGATGTAGTGGCCGCTTTCCGTCAGCAAGAGGCGCATGATGGTGAGGTGAGCATCTGGATGGTCCAACCTCTGGCCGTTGGTGGAGCACACCAAAATTCCATCGCCATTGTCGAACCACTGTGTCATCATAGCTGACCTCATCTGCCGCAGGCTGACATTCGGCAGCAAAGCGGGACATGTTGATCCTTGTCCTCCGATGAGCTCTGCCGTGTATGAGGCTGGAATTCCATCTTCTCCTCCAACTCCAAAAGGTAGGCAAACTCGGGCAAGAGTGCTGTCTCCTTGTCCACTGATGCCTGTCACCGTAGTTGTTGAAGGTTCCCAGGTAATCTTGTCTTGCAGATGTTCTGGAACCATGCCTGCATCCAAAAGCTCTCGCAAAGTGTCAGTGCCGATCAGGCCACTTGCAGCTCCAGGATCAACCAAAAGTCCAAACACCTTTCTCCCACGCACCATGTGAAAGTTCTCAAGCTTTTGATCCTGGAAAGATGGGAAGTTGAGCTTCTTGGCATTCTTCTCGGTGGCTTCGTCGTCATCTGGGGCTTTCTCCTCAAAGCGAACCTTCTTGCCGATGAGCAGCTCTTCTCGATCAGGTGTGTCGATCTTCACAATTCTCGGCATCGAAGAAGTCGGTGTTGAAAAACCTTTGGAAGTAGGCTGCTCGTCGATCTCGGTCTTGAGGTTCATGAGATAGGATCCACCATAGTAGTCCTGAAAGCCAGCTGGAAGCTCTTCAGCCCAGAAGCCACGTTTGCCATATCCCTTTCTCGCAAAAGGTTTTCCTTTCTTTCCAAAGCCTTTCGACTTGCCAAAGCCTTTGTTGTAGGGCTTCCCATAGCTCTTGCCATAGCCCTTTGACTTGGATTTTCCAAAGCCTTTTCCTCGTCCTTTGCCTTTGTGGGGCTTCTGGTCATTCAGCGGGCAGCTGTAGGTGTTGTGCCACTTTGACCCACATGTCGAGCATCCGAGACCCATTGTAGAGGATCTTGACTTGCCTTTGCCCTTGTAGAAGGATTCTTCCACGTTGCCAGACTGCTCTGCAGGTTCTCCTTCAACTTGATCGGCAGGTTCTTCTTCTCCAGCTTCATACCATGTCTCCTGCCAATCTCCAGGTTCATAGGGCTCCTCTTGGTCGTAGTACCAGGAGGCATCATCATCATACCATCCTTCATACCATGCGTAGAGCTCGTCAGTCTCATAGGAAGGCCACTCTTCGTTCCAGGGCTCGGTGATGTTGCTCCATGAAGATGAGTCGATATCGTCCTGGTAGAAGGCCTTGTTGGTGTCCTCGTACAGGTTGGACGAAGCTGCTGCATCCATTCCACGGTGTGCCATCCGCAGCAACAGCGTCCTCACTTCTTCAAATCTCCTCATATCTCCATGGACCTGTAGAAGAAGATCATCTATCGTCTTCTGAGGCAAACCGCTGCTCTTGAAGAACAAGTAGGTTTTGGCCACAGGGTTCACCTCCAAGCCTGCATGTAATACAGCTTCTTCCAGGTTGAGCTCCCATTGCACAGACCATTCGCTGATGGGGAGCCTTCCACGACGAAACTCAAAGAACGTCTCCAGCGCCTTCGTCGCCTGAAGTTGTTCTGCTTCTCCAAAAGCTGCACGTAGAGCATGAAGTAGTGCTTGAGGACCTGAAGGAATGGCTCTTTGGATGATGTTGCCAGCGGGGTCTGTCACCTCATCCACTGACAGCCTCACCAGCGCCGCATCTCCCACGTCCACATGTCCCGTGGGATCTGGCAGCCTCAAGCTAAGCGCAATTTGCTGCGCTCTTCCTCTCAGGCGGCCTGCCAAGAGAGGGCCGACGTTCTCGTCGGGGCCGTCGAAGAGGCGGTACCAGACTTTCACCCGCTCCATGTACTGCTTCAGGGTGTAGCGGCTGTCTCCAGGGGCCCATCCTGGTGGAATATCTTTGCGATATTCATCCAGTGGGATTCCTGATGTAGTTCCGCTTGAAGTCATACTTCTGAAGGAACTGGTCCAAGTAGATCTCCAAGCACTGCAAGGCACAGCTCGTCCACGTAGAGGGCCAAGAACTGCTGCGCAGACCTTGTCCAGGTAGATCGCCAAGCACTGCCAGGCTTGTCCAGATAGAAGTCCAAGAACTGCAGCGAGGACCTTGTTCAGGTAATTCACCAAGCACTGCCAGGCTTGTCCAAATAGCAGCCAAGGTGGAAGGAGTCCAGCAGATAGAGCGCAGGTGCTGGTCCAGAGCAAAGCGCAGAGGTCGTTGTCCAGGTAGTCCAGGGCGTAGTGCAAGATGTCGTGGGTCTCCAGGAGAAGACCAATGCCAGCAGCGCCAGCTCGTGGTGGTGTCGTAGGGCTCGAAGAGGAAGTAGTCGGAGTCGTAGTGCAAAATGGCGTAAGCAAAGCGAAAGAGAAGGATGGAGCGAGGGGAAACAAGCTCCGCTACCAAATTGGAAAAACGGTAGCACTTTTAACAACCGGGCCTAAAGGTCGACCTACGGTCTAAGGGGTGAAAAGTACCCGCACCAGAGACATGAAAATTCAAGTTGTATAATATTACCCTTCAGGGATTACGCACGACTTTGTGGAGATCTTTCCTTTGTACCCAATCATTCCCGCTCTGGGTAAAACAACACAAGGTCCAACCGACTCATGAGTATGGTAATTGACCCAGGTACTCTGGGCTATGATGTATGTCACATGCTCCCACCACATTAAAAAAAAAGTTTTGGTCCTTTACCAGGTTTAAAGACTTATAACCTATAACCCCATTTATGAAAATTATAATCCCATTAATAGCCAATTATAACTAATAAATGGCCATAAGCGCAGAGTTTGCAAGGTTCCGTAAACTACTACATGTCACAGATATTTAACAGCCTTCGGCATTCCGCCGGCCCTCTGGCGGTTTGGCAGTACATACGGAATCTGCGCGTTTAGGAAGGGATGCTTTGATCATTTGAGGAGAGTTGGGGTATTCCTGGATGTCTGGTTTTGACTTGAAACGAGCTGGGTAGAAGGGTCAGGTATGAGCTAGGCCTGGAACTTGATTGGTCATTTGTGAGCCAGTGCGGTTGTGAGAGAGAACTGCCGTCGAAGAGGAACATTAGCCTAAGCTCTAGCTGAGCTAACGCTGTATCAGAAGAACAGGTGGGGGGAACATTAGCTTAAGCTCTAGCTGGGCTAAAGATGCATCAGAAGAACATCCAAAAACCCGCCGGCAGGCCGGCGGATTTTTCTAGGTGCGACTGCAACGCCCAATTCTTTTTATTTGTTTTGCATTTTTGACCGCACGTCCTGGAAACCTCTTTGCCGATCAAGCCTAATCCACGTCACTTGATCCGATTTGTGCTGCAGGTCAGCAGCGTCAAGCAGGCAGTAAATGCCGCCAAAGCTCATGTACAAGCGACTTGGCCGAGCGCACAGTGGGGAAGTTTTGCTCTGCCAAGGTATGCCACCAGGCTCTTCTGCCTTCCTTTTCTAGGAAGTTATATAGGGCATCATGCAAAATAGGAACCTGTGTGCCCGTAAGGCGCCCTTACACATGATGGATTGTCACAAAACAACTCAGGAATCTGGGGCAGAGAATTGTCATCCATATACCTGCAGAATGGCCAAGTATTCTGGCAAGAACGTTTCCAGAGATTTCTGGCGATTTGCTAGCGTCCCAGTTGTTACTCGGTCTTGTTTTGTCAATTGTTGTCACTGTTCGTTTTTGGGACAATGGCAAGTCTGGTGCAGCCAGTTTGTGGGCCATGCTTTGGTACGACGGCTCTTTTGCTCCACAGGACACTTGCTTGGTGCGAGCGCCTTTGAAGAGTCGTGGGGATTCCTCTGGATTCCAAATGGTAGATCTTGCAGTTGTGGATCCCATTTCCTTGGTTGCTTACTTGTGGGACGACATAGGAATCCAAGTGAGCGAAGATGAAGTGAGGCAATATTGGCGGCACCACCGCCAGCATGGTTCACGTTGGGCCACGTACTCCCAAGCCAGTGAGTTGACCATGCCATTAGGCATCTACGGTGACTCTGTGAAGGTTCGATCAACGTATCTTGGTGTGGAGAAGATGGTCGGCGTGTTTCTCAACGCACCTTTGTATCGGCCGAGGTCATGTCGATGTTCCAGGTGGCTACTCTTTAGCTGCCAAGAGGAGTTGCTATACCATCATCATACACTGGATTGTATTTTTCGATTTCTGACTTGGAGCCTGAACCACCTCTATACTGGGAAGTACCCGCTGAGAGGATTCAACGGGTCCCCTCTATCGGAGAGAGCAGCTGCGAAAGCAGGTCAGTGGGTGTGCCGTGCCCGTTGGTGCTTCCAGGTGTGTGAAATTCGAGGGGATTGGGTTTGGCATAAGCAGGTGTTTCGGTTTCAAAGCTCATGGAAAGCAGGATCCAAGCTCCCCATCTGCTTCAAATGCCGCACTTTTGCAAAGGGACCCACCCACGAATTGTATTACAACATCGAAGAGAATTCGCCTTGCTGGTCCAAAGAGTACGAAACTGTCGCGGATTTCATTGCAGAGCAATTGCCACGACCACCGTGTCACAAAGATGGTTCATATGATGTATTTTCAACCCTTTGGTTTGCCAATTCAATTGAAATTTGGATGATCATGTGTCCCAAACTCCATATTCCGATTGATCTAGCCGACTTGCTGGCTAAGGTCCTTTGGTGTTTCTCAGATTCTTTCATCAGGACATGTTGCGGTGGTGCGCGATGCACACGATAAATCTAGGTCTTTGCTACACAACGAACGGTGGAGCTTTGATGCTAGGAGTTGTTCAGCCCCGCTGCTTTTGTCAAACCGCCTGCATCTTTTAGTTGCCCCAAGACTGTTGAATCAACCGCTGAATTCTTTGAATGTTTTTTTGGCGTCTGTTGCCGGTGTTTCCCAGGATGCTTCTGGCCCAAGCCTCCTACTTTGCTGACTACCAGACAGAGAGCCTGCAAGATATTTTGGATGTTGCATATAGACGCTTTCGTGCTTTTTGCAGAGAACGCAAGATCTCATGCAGCCAACCACCGTTCACTGTGAAACTAGTAGCTGGTTCTCATCTCATTTATTGGCAGCTAGTTTCTCTATTTCGCGCAGTGCCTTGTTTTCTCGCGCCTTCTTAGATGCCAATGAATCAGTAGCTTCTGCACACAGCTGAGGTACTCAAGGCCCAGGAGCAGGGCTTGATGACTGCCAAAGCCTTTTGCGGACGCGTCATCACTGAATGGCTTTCCCATGAGCTGATTTTGGCAGCAAATGGTCCCTTGAGGGGGAATGAGGAAATTCGCTTGGCTTGCGTGACAGTGATGCTCGACCCTCACGCCGGTTGCAATTAGCCATGCTGTTTTGAAATTCAAAATCATTTTTTGCCTGGTCTATGGCCAATGCCCCAATGAGGAATGCATTGGCTCGATTCTTTGGGATCTTGGAGAGGAGTGGCCGGTACTTGATGCTCGGCCATGTCAGCCGGTCATTATGTTCCGTTCCTATTAGGTCTGGAAAGTCCGTGTGGCAACGCGCAAGAAGGTTTCATGCTTTTTTGTCGATGCTCAGGACGGCCACACAAGCTTATCATCTCAATCGCGAGGGCTTGGTTTTTGCCCGTGGTCATTTGAAGCTCACTGCGATGTGTCAAAGGCGTGCTTGTATGGCCAGCCGTTTGCCTTGCGAGAATTTCCATACATTCGGTGGGCTTGGGTTTTCCACTGAGATATTTGGCAGGCTTGAAAAACACTTCTTTATTATACGTCCGAAACTCCATGCCCTGTGCTTACTTTTGCTGGGTTGTTTTTGCACGTTTGCTAATTTCTTCCATCCATGCACTTCTATGTCAAACCAAGCATGGATTCAGGTACTGGGTCACCTTCTGAAACAAATCCGAGAAACCAGCACCTTGGATAAAAAGTGCTGGCGTTATTGTCCAGAAAAAGTTTTGGATGTCCGAGTCGCCTGGCAACCATGTTCTGAACACCCTTTACGGAACCTTGCAAACTAGTTGCTTCTCAGGAACTAACATTCGCCATGAACACTGTTTTCAAGATGAAGATTCGATGCAATGGTTGAAGCGAACTTCGGCCCAATTTTGATTCCAGATGATTCCAGACACTAGCTGCCCTTGTTTGCCTCCTGTTAACGAAATCCCCCTTTAAGACATCTCAGACCCGTGCTTCTATTCAGGAGCTGCTTTGCGGGGCCATCAATCGAAGGCCAAGCAACGGAAATGGTGCCTTCAACTAGGCTCGCTGAGGCCAGTTTACACCATGGGTTGCGGGTGGCAAAACATGGGCAGTTGTGAAGAAATGCAAACATTTGTTTGACATGACTTGTTTCTCGTCGGGTGCTGTTGCTTGGGTTGTTCTCAGGCTGCTAAGCATGAAATGGCGTGTCAGGTCGCCTCTTTTCAGCAATTAAAAAAAATCATGCCCATGATCATTCAAGCATGATTGGGTCAGAACCTATCATCTAGAACCAACTTGACATATTTGATTTGAACCATGGGCGTGTTGAGCCTGAGGCTGAATCAATCTTCAAGATCCCGCGAATGATTGGCAGCGGGCAACGCAATGGAAAAAAATGTGTCAAACCAACAAAATACCAACACAGGGGACCAGTGGCCGTGACACGCCCGTGACCCGCGTGACCAGGATTAGTTGTGCAAAGTATATCCTTTGTTGGGTCGGGGTGGCAAAGTTTCGCCTTTGGACCCCTGGGGTATATATATTATATCAATCTATAATATGATCTATATAGATCTATATAGATTCCTTATATGTCCTTACATATGATTCCAATCTAATTCCAATCTTTATCTTTACATGTCCAGGTCCTCCCAAGGCCTCCCGCTTCAATCTCTCCAGCAGCAAACGCCAGTATCCATCAACTTCCACAAACCTTGGATCGCGGTCGGTTGATCATGGCTGATCTACATCGAGCAAGAATCATTCCGGGATTAGGCATTTTCGATGTGTGTTCGATTGCCTTAGTGCGCGGGCTCAAGTCTCCAAACAAAAGAAGCGCGAAGAAAGCAAAACTAGGCAAGACTATGCAAGACTCTGATATCTAGACATGATTGGCATTCATATATATATATATACAATTATATTACATTAATGTATAGTATAATATAATATAATATAACATCATATATAACATAATATTAATTATATTATTATATATTATATATTATATATTATATTTCATCATGTTATATTATGTTATATATTATATTATACTACGTATATTATATATTATATTATATTAATATGCAAATATGTTGATTGGCATTGCGGCATCGTCTAATCTACATATGTACAGCTGGGTCTCCCCACGGCCCCTCAGATAACAGCGTGGAGAGCTCCTTGGTGGAGCTGGCGACCTCATGCCTTGGTGGACGATGGTATGTCAAAAATCTGTAGCTTCCCCTGAAATCTGAATCACTATGGGAGACTTCATGGGAGACTCTAGGGGCGCTTCAAGCAAATCGATGCTAGAGCAAGCAATCAATATCAATCAATACAAGCAAGACAGCAAGACCTTTGATTCTCTCATTTAGCATCCCTCCTGACTTGGGGTAGACTCGACTGCAATTTCACTAATTTCTTTTGTGTCTAGACTATCATGACCCCTAGTGTTCGGAGCTGCTACATGTGGGTGTGTCAATTGTCTTGTTTAGTTGTCCAATAATGTCCTATACTGTGAAACAAGCCGTCCGCACATGGTCATGGGCACACATGAGTGACATATCCAATATCTGCATGCGTTGGTGAAGACAATGTCTTTGATACAGCACATGTGCAATGAGTGCAATGTATAAGTTTCCTGAAAGTGTGCAGAAGAACTGAATGGAAAGGAAATGCACCAACGGAAGGGTGGCAAGCTAGAAAAACACGATATGCTCATTGAACATGAAAATCCGTCTCAAAAGCGAAGGCAGTGCTGTTCAAAATCCCCAACACCTGCCGTCTGATTTATCTCTTATCTCAGTGTGTTTCACAGAAGTCTTCAGCATCTTGCTGCTAAACCCGAGGACCTAACTGTAGAGACGCAAAGTCATAGAACTTGGGATCATTTCTGATAGCCTTGCGCTTTTTTTCTACCGCATTCAAAAGAACAGCGGTTCACCACCATCCCAAAAGAAGACTCAGTCGTCGCGATCAACTTCCAGGAATGGACCAAATCGCAAAAGAAAAAACACAACCTGTATGACTCAAGTCCTACTGCGATAGATGAAGAAAGCATGAGAAAATAATATAAAATACACGAATGCAATTCCTGCATCTACTGCAAAGCAGGTGGTGTCACCACCCCGAGAGTTTGAAAGTCGAACAAGAAGCTCCTAAACATTCCGTAAAACCAGCGGTCCGGCATACCCCGTGTGCATCTCCGGCCATTTTTCCCGTCCCTTTTGCACCTGGCTCAATGCCGTGGGTCGCAGTAGCTCTCGCACCTCAGCTTTTTCGCTCTCAGCTGTGCTTATCTGGGCTTGCCCAGCTAAATCACTTGTAATATCTTGTAGTATAAATCTAATCCGTGTAAGCCTTTGCAGTTTGGGCAGAAGTAAGCATGTAAAACATTGTAAAACCGACCATCCGCGAATATCAGCGTACTGGTGTCACCAACAGGGTCACTCGTGTCCCACAAAACGGTCCGTTTATACACAAATCAAGGGTTTGATGGACCCACCCTCAATGTGACCATCGTGAACATGCATAGTCCGCATACAGGACCATGTCTATAGCTACTCTCTGCTGCTAAAAAGGCTTCTACATCCACAACATTTCATAGCGTATCACCATGAGGTTTGACATGGTGACGGGTACTCACACAGTGGGCGCAGTCCAACCCCTTCGCGACATCATGTCCCCCCCCCCGCAGGCCGTGGATCCCATTTTTTTTTGCAACTACATTCCCTTCATCTTATAGCAAATCCCAGCATGCGCACCCATGGAATATATGGAATCTGGAGTTTCAAATTGAAAGCTGATTGGATTTCATGGAATTCACTCAAATTTCTATGCACGACCCACCCTCTCTGCCTTCCTGCCTTGATCAGGTCTGGTTTCTCTGGCTTTACGAACAACTGCCCTCTGCACTGAGCGAAAACAGTACACCTCCAACAAAAAACACCGCGCAGGCGGAGCTTGAAGTGTGGCGTTCAATAAAAAAGATTCAAAAAGGCCCTGTTCACTGACTCATTTGGAACAAAAATTGATTGTGCAGTCACCAAGTTTCAACGCTGCAAATATCTGTGAACAGTCTACCGTTGCAGTGCCCGAGGCAAATATGCTGGCTGCAAGAGTTGTCACGATGAGTTCTTCCCATATGTTGTGTTTATTCGAGGGCAAACTTGGGGTCATATGGTCAACCTAATCAATCCATATAATATGTACACTTCTATTACATATACTAATATTATACATATATATAATATAATATCAGTACTATCTCACTTTAAGTGCCTTTTGATCCACACACGCCATGTGAAAACTGGACCCATCTCAGCTGCCTCTGAAGGTTGTCGCTTCCGCCTTGGTCGCCTGCAGTACATCTGGTGTGAAGTCTGATTTTTGGCCGAACAATCCTGAAGTTCCCCAAGCATAAGCACTGATAGGTCAGGATAAAGGCTAAAGGTATAAAATTCTATAAATCATTGGCCCTTGCCACATCCCACAACATAGCAGTGATTTGCTGAGTTTGCATGAGTTTGCTGTATGCCTCCGGTTTCGAAGTCAACTTGATAGTGATCATTTGTCGGAGCTTTGAAACCGCTCCAATGGGCTGTGTTTCACACTGCTCACATTGTCTTTGCCTCTTTTCCGAGGTGCTCTACATGGCCAACAACCACTGAAACCCGTTGCTGTCGGCCCTACGGATGCGGACTGCACAGAACAAGACTGCCCTGGGTGCTGTCCAATGCTTTGCCACAGAAAGCTCTAATTGAGCCACTCAATCGACTGACGGAAGTTCAATATTGCAAAGGCTTCCATCTGACCGTAACCTCGTTTGGGCGAATTGACCAAGTGCAAATGCAGGAGCTTTAGTTTGTCGTTCATCAAAATACATCGGTCAAAAATTGTCTCAGGCAAGGTGTGATTGAAGATCGTCTGGCAATCCCAATCCATCATCAATCCCTTTTGAAGCTGGTATGAAGGTTACTCGATAGATCTTTTGTATAGTGCTATCTAGTACAATATGATACAATATGTACAATGCCACATGTCAATGCCATATGTCAATGCAATATTCAAATCGTGGAGGGAAAATCATGTGGTAATGGTAATGTGATCCACGTTTTCCATCCTTGGCCACCTGTGCCATAGCGACAAGTGGCTCTGGAATCGTCAGCTGGCATCGCATGGTTTTTTGGAAGGCAATGCCGCTGGAGAGATAGGCAGCCTACAAAGCAGCATTGATGAAACAAAACATGACACCTTCTGCAGATTTCTGCAGTTGAATTGAATGCTCCCACAGAGACAAAAAACAGGTTGAGGTGATCAAGCGTTGATAGAATCCTCAAACGACTGGGTCTGAGATGGATCATGATGCCCACAAATTTCGACGAAAAATTCAAGAAACATGTCCCTGTTATGTAGCGTGAAAGGAATGCCATGAACTGATGGCATGGCACATTCCAGCCTCATTGATGAAACAAGGATAGCACTCTGGCCTGCAGTGATTTAGAGATCTGGCGTTTTGGGAGAGCTTTGGACGAAGCGCTTGTAGGTATTGATATGTATTGCCCATAGGATCCATGGTGCTGGTATATATGCTAACATTGGGGGTATATTGATGGGATCCATGTTACCATATATAGCAGCACCATGGATCCTATGTATTGATGTATGTTGATGTATTTTGTATCACAACACGTCACGTCGAATTGTCAGATATTGTCAGCACCCATCAGGGGCTGCGGCTCGTCCCAAAGTATCATCTCACCAGACTCCAAGTCCTAAGCCATGACTCAGTGGAAGAAACGCGTTGCATCACGTTGCCACATGTATCAATTCAAGTCATAGGATAGTCGTATAGGAATGTATAGGACTTATGGCACTTCAATTGCTTCAATTGTGATGTCGTTTAGCTGAACTTGTGACGCTTCTGAGCAGATTGCTTTCCATCAACATGGCACAAGTAATAACGTATATAATACAGTACCGTATATATGTATAACTGTGTGTAACTGTATATATAGACATTATATATGCACATATAATGTCTATAGTGGTGGGAGATCCTAGAGATTCGTTTCGTATCTTCCCACGTTTGATTGATCTAAAATTCAAACTGTTTGAACCACATGTGTTGCGAAGCAATCACAGTTTCAGGTGAAGCATAGCCCCGTGATTTGCAACTCACCCTGGTCCTAGATGATTGCATATTCTGGGTACAACAATCCCTAGAGTCAGTGACGGAAAAAGTCGTCCTGAAAAACAGGATCTCCTAGATGAAGTGCTTGGAAGTCTTTTCCTGGCAGGACGCTGTTCCAGTTGGCCGGGCATGACCTCTTCCAACCATTCTGCAGCTTAGATAAACGTTCTCCATCAACATGAATTTGTTGTAAACAGCGGCTACAACCCAAACACATGGTGGACGACTTCTATCATACTGGGTCAGCCTGACCCTTGGAAATCTCCTCGAAAATGTTGCGCATCACATTGTTCTGAGTTTTCTGGAACAGCCTCTTTCCAAGCACATCCTGCGGTTGAGCCAGGTTTCCCCAGCCCACCTTGTAGCTCGGCAGCAATCGATGCACGGAGACTACCATCTGACCTGCGCCAGGGACAGGGACTTGGGCCGATGCTTTTCCAATGCTTTTCCTCTACGAAGGACCAGCATTGTCACGTGTGAATCCTAGGACCCTATGGCGGGGAAAACACAATTGGAGCAAAACCCCATGGTGTCACAACATGCCAGCCTCGTTGGATAGTGCACTGCACCGGTCTGAATAAAGACCTGCACCACTTTGACAACCATGGCAAAAATTAATCCCAGTTGATTGGTCTCTAAATTCAGGTGTTTTAACAAAAAGCTTTTGGAGTGTAAACTTCGACCGCTGTTGTCTCTATGAGTAGTTCATGCTTGAGGCCATTCTGGAGGACAATGAATGCACAATGCTCTATCTTGAGCTGGATCAATGACCAAATGATACCAAATGATCAAACTCATGTAACGTTCATTGGTTTCATTGAACCAAAAAAGCGTCTAAATGTGTCTACCATTTATTTTGCCACTTCGATATCTGATCCCGTTGATCCACCTCCAAAGTCTTTTCACTTCTCTCCTCGTGAGGGCCAATGCAACAGGATCGTCAAAGCATTCTGCGTGACTGGAGCAGTACGATCCTTTGTGCACCTAGGGCGAACTTTTCTTATGTAATCCATTTCCAGGTCCTGAGTTTCTTGGCCAACAAGATCGATCAATTCACTTCTATTTCAATCTAAACACCTCAAACATCTATCTCAATATCTATAAACATCTATAGAATATAAACGTGTATATACATGATTCGCGATTAAAATTAAATAGACAATAGTATATACATAAATGTACATAATCACTATAAAATCATATTAATCTGTACATAATCACTATAAAATCATATGAATCTGTACATAATCACTATAAAATAATATTAATCTGTACATAATCACTATAAAATCATATTAATCTGTACATAATCACTATAAAATCATATTAATCACTATATAATCACTTGCAAACCTGACTCATCTGCTCCTCGTCAGAGAGCTGCTGGCGGTTGAATCGCTCCAGGAAGTCCAGGGCGCCAAAAACCAACCTGGCACTGTCAGGGACTACAGGGGCTACCAACTCTGGCACAGAGGAGCACCCAGATGATGGCTGGTGATTTTCGCTATTTTGAAGTGATTCGAATCCATGTAGTCGTGCTTACGAGTTAAGAGTCCAATGTTGGGATGTTGGGATTGGGATTCAGTAGTTGTTCCGAATGTTACAAGATGTTACAAGTCATCTTCCCTCCGGATGGATCTCATTCATATCGATTCTTGAAATTGCCAAAGCTTAGATAGCTTAGGTAGCTTAAGATACCTTAAGATACGTCCAGGTCATGCATTTTTCTAGAGTCAGTTTTTCAAATGCACCACACAGTTGGACCAAGACAACAAGCCCCGTGCCTTCGCTGATTCCAGAAAACCTCAAGGGTTCATGCGAGGCAAATTCAAAGCATCTGGGAATGCAAAGGACATCTGTGGATATCTGTGGTATCAACTAGGCCAGAAGTTGCGACAGCAATTCAGTAGATGGAGAATCAACGGGCAATGTCCAAGTTTTGTCCATCATGCATGATATATACATAATCATATATATATATACAACATGGAAAAGTACCTGCTGGTTGGGTACATGAGCCAGAACTTAGATGAACTTAGTTGATATCTTAGTTGGGTTCATCCAGGATGACCTGTAGATTTTGAAGCCACCCATGCCACACCCCGCCTCTGATACCAGGGTGCCATGAGCCTGGGGCCCCACCTCAAAGGTCAGATCCTGAGTGTTCAGAAGTGGGGCCAGTGGGGAGGTATCAAATTCCTTTACCATGTAGAATGATGATTTGGCACCAGCCAAAAGCTTCACCACAAACTGCCAAGCACACAAAAATCCACATGGTCAAAGTCGAACGCATCCAAACGATGGTCATGTTTCCCAAAGACGGGTATGATACGGAATGAGACGTGTGTTTTTCCAAGCATGTCATGCACATACAGGTTATGGCCAGTTCTGGCTATTTCTAGGCCAAGGGTGTCAAAACTACCCTTTGGTAAACTAACAGAACTATGGAAAGATCCACCATGCTATCAATGGGTAAGTCCACTATTTCCATGGCCATTTTCAATAGCAAACTGTTAGTCATTACCAGAGAGGGTAATCCACTTGCCACCCAGCGTCATTCTTCGCAGTTAATGGCAGATAGGGTTCCTCAGAGCAATCACCCAGGCAGTCCAGGAGGATGTGTACATTGGGCACTCGACCTGATTTCAAGAGCTGGCAATTGTTGAAAAGTTAAAACGCCCACGAAAAGCTATGCAGTGGTTTGGGATTGGTTGGTGGCTTTGGAATTTTGGGGTTTCAATCATAATCAATCAGAAGTGTTGGGACAAGAGTAGTTAGAAACGCAAAAAGTACATGTACTGCAAGTACATGGCGCTGCTGCACCCCGTTGAAAGTTTGATGGGCCAAAACCACTCCTAGTCCAAACACTGCAAACTTTCATTGGGAGTCTACCTATATATCATTTACTGTATATATTATACAATACTTATTTATATAATACTGTATATATAATATACGAGTCTGAGTGATGAGACACAAGCAAGTGTCAAGGAACAGCGAAGATAATCACAAAGTTGGAGTTTCCAGTGCAAGTCCGGTGAGGACGTGTCAGTGATGATGATGCCGCAGCCGAAATTGCTGGTGGTATTGTGCAAATCGATGCATAAATCCGAAGCCTCCGCCGAAAAGCGTGGACCGATGCGTGCATTGATTTCTTGGGCACGGTGCATTTCATAGCTGTCAGCAGCATCACTGTGTAACGTCGATCGAGAAAAGCAGCGGTTGAGATCTCTGTCAACAAAGCGACGGCAGACTTCGATGGCCAAATCATTAGCCAGCAAACAATCCTGTGGTTGGTTGGTCCACGCAGCGCTCTCAAAATAGTATGGGACTCCGGCCCAATTCACAGTATGCAATAATTGGTCATGTGCTATTTACTGACTGGATCGGTCTTCTCAAAAAAGAGTTGCCAACGACAAAAATTTGAAGTGCAGCCGAGCGTCAATCTCCAAGGACTTAAAGTCTTGAAACGACGGTTGCCGCAGGAGAGAACGAACCAAATGAACTCCTGAGAGTTCATTTCCATGTGTTCCTCCCACCAAAGCTACACGTTTGATGCCGCGCATGGCATGTCTTTGGCCAACGGCTGTACCGGCCATACCACACAACGCCGTCAATCCAAAGTGTTTCCAGCGTGGAGCGCGTGGAGCGCGTGGAGCGCGTGGAGCAGCCAGGTGCTCACGGCGAGGTCGCGGTGGTGCAGATGGCAGCGGGGCAGCATGAAAGGCAAGGAGCATCGGCTGAGAGATTGGGAACAATTGCAGGATGCCTAAGGTCATTCAAGGCATAAGGATTTGCTGGGAGCATGAAGAGTCCTTGTGGTCACTATGCATTGATATGCATTGATATGCATTGTATGCATTGCTCGAATCATCTCCAATGGACTTTTTCCCTAAGTTGCGAAATATCATATCTCCAGTGCACAAATGCCCCTATGTGTCCAGGATTCTGTGTATGTTATATAATGAGTTATATATAATGACAATACGGACACATCAAAGTCAATCCCTTATGAGATTCATCGTCCTTAGCTAGTTCCAGCCCTGTGGAGGTTGAGCTCGAAAGTGACACTTGACATCTAGGGGCCAGACCTTGCTCTTCTGCTTTACCACATGTAGATGCCAAATGATGCCAAGTTGGTTTCAGTGGCTGGCTGGGACATACCAAGAAGCTGGAGCCGCTGAACGGCTGAAATGTGTTCACCAGCTTTGCCGTGCAAGTCCATCCTTCCATGTATGCCCTGCAATGATAGGAAGTGCATCGTCACATAAATGAAGAGGCTTGGGTGAGTTGCGTCATGTTCATGTCTTGAGGTTAACAACAAACAATATCAAAAAAGAACAAACACGCACTCCAGTTTTTAATTCTTTGTGTTCCAAAACTTTGTACATCTGTGGTAGTCAAAAATATCCAAGACGGGATCTCACCTGCATTCTCCTTGTTTTCCTCTGCATCTCCCCCAGGCGTCACCTGCACTAAGTGGATTTGGAATAATAGTTTGGAAAAGAATTCCTGTTCGTCATTAAACCGACAAGCACGCCGTTCACATCTGTTCACTGTACAAGCTCCGGAAAACATGACATGACCATTGGCTGCAGCTCCGGGAAAGGATAAAACATCATAAGACATTGGCCCGCGGTGTGATTCATCAGGGACACCATGTCTGTCGAACTTGAATAACTTGAGTATGACACGAAAAAAGGAGGAAAATCGTGTCCTGACAATATATATATATATTACATATCATATATATATATATTATATATATATCATATATATTATATGATACGTCCTAACTAATCCTATCCGGAAGGGGTTTGTTGTGACATGTTGTGACGCTTTGTCTCTGCCAGGGATTTGGTCCCGGTCTGGCCCGGTCTGGCCCGGTCTGGCCCGGTCTGTCCCGGTCCCACCGCCTTGCCGAGCAGAAGCGTATTGGAGTTCTCAAGGAACTCCACCCCAAACCTGATCCACCAAGGTGGCATTCTACGGTTTTTTTCTGCACAAACGATGAGGCTCGAAACCCAAACAATATGCTATAGCGATCTATAGCGTACAACTACATTCTATAATATCATTAATACCTATCAACTATAAAGATCTATAAAGAGTATACCAGTCTACCAAAAAAAACTCTATATTTCATGACAGTGAAAAAATGGCATAAGGTCATTTTCCACGGAACATGGATGTCACCATCCCCGCAACGCCACTCCAGCTGCAGCCAGGCCCAGCTACGTAGCATCTGCAGTGCACAAGGCTGTGAAACCGCCTCCGGACACCTGCCCGAATCAGGCAAGAAAAGGGGCTTCAAGACTCCACCTGAAATCTGAAAGGATCTGCCAAATTACGACACCATGTTATACCAGAGTAAAACAATACCTTTAGAAGTCTCAAGATCATTGAACGTCGATGATGGAGCTGGAGACCCAACATGGTAACATGTAATATGCAAGAATGTACGAGAATGGTTTTAAGATGTTTTAAGGTTTCATGTTGAATGTTCACTCAGTCTCAGAGGTCAATATTCTACACGACTCTTCAGGAGTATTGAGAGTAATTATTGGGTGTCAAGACGCTGTGGCATCACCAAAAAAAAAAACATCCAACTGTGGCCAGAACGCCGCGTCCGCTTTTTGTGACGTCGATTGATGCGATGGGAATCGTCCGCTGACGGTGCCAACCGGAAGCCAACCGCTGTGGTAGCAAGTCAAAATGATCTGCTTTTTACAGATCTGAAAATCGTCCACACATGCGCACATAGCAGTCTAGGCACACCACAAAGGCCCTGCAGCGCAGTGTCAAAATGGAGATTAAGAGAGGTGCTGAAAAACACCCCTCTGAGCAGGTGTCCCATTCCAGCCCGGACCACAAAAGTTCACAGAAAGTGGGCCTTCGGACTGAAGTGAGTCACCGGCTAGTACAGCCATGACAGGTTGGAGTTTCTTGAATTTAAACCACGACAAAAGATATGAACAACATTAAAACATATTAAAACGATGAAACAAATGGGAAACTTTCTGAAAGGCCAAAACTTGCGCACACAGCGCAGACCTTTTCTGAGTTATTCAAGCTATTCCTGGCACTTGAGCTTGTACGAAGTACCGAAGAATTGTCATGCGAAATCCAAATTCAGCAGAGGTTTTTGAGCTCATCACTTAGCATCGGCTCAGTTGCTTGTAACGTCGCTTGATGCGCCAAGGGCACTCAATTTTGGACCAAACAAAGTAGTAGTTGTCGTACTTAGCAGGCCTCAGCTTAAGCATGAACATTAATATTTCAAGGTCCTCTTCAAAATGTTCAACGCAGCAACGCTTGGGATTTCACCCTATCGTTTGAACCCACATAGCATTGACCAATCAGGTGAAGATGCATCAGAAGTAAACATGTCGTGTGCAGTCAGCATAATCAGCATAGCATGTCGATCCATGCTGATGAAAAAATGCGCAACTTTCTCACGAGTTTCCCCCCACAATTCAACTAATGGCAAACCAAACATCATCTGTGTAGGTAGGACCAACTTGCCGCGAACATGACTCAAACTCACCCAGATGCGAGTGTCGCATCCCGAATCCTGGCATCCAAATCACGGATTGGTGAAGTCGAAGTGATTCTTGATACCAAACTTGTTCCTCAAAGGCAAGCTTCTGTGGAGACCTGTCCTATCCTGTCCTGATTTCATCAGTCCAACTACAGAACAAAAAAGCCCTTCTGAATCAGGTGACCCGGAAAAATCATGGGTGGTGGATTTTTTTCTCCATGCTAATTGACTGCTGACTGTCAAACAGGCTTTTCCAAGGGTGTTTTACCCGGAAAGTGGAACTGAACCCTTGGAAACAATCATCTGGTGAAATTATACCCTCTGGTAAATTAACATAGACCCTGGCAGATAGGGTTGGAAGAGACTAGTTTCCATTAAAAATTGGTGATTTTCAGGGTCTATGTTTATTTACCATAGGGTATCATATAATCAAATTCACGAAAACCTGATGTTGGGCCGCCTTTGTTGGACCCATATTGAACAGAGGGCACCATACCACCATGTCACCATACCACACTGTGTGATGTGTTTTGGGTGTCACCAAGTCTCCGGGACACAGCCTGTAAGCTCATCTATGAAAGAGTTCATGCACATCATTGATAAAGTTAAAATATGTTACAACTCAAACTCTTTGAGTACATAACAGTGTATATATATAATATTATATATAATAGTACATGGGCCATATATATATATATATACACACGTATATATACATATATACATATGTATATATACATATGTATATATATATATACACATACATATATATTAAATATATATATATATGTATACCTGTATGTATATATTATATATACATATATATATATATACATATCGGTATATCCCATGTTATTATTATAATTTGTACCTCGAAGAAATTCCATCCGTTGAGCTGGAATCTGCCCTGCGTCGTGCGATCTGCCCAGGCGCCCTTGTCCAGTTTTCCCAGGGCACCAGCCTTCATTGCCTGGCAACGAAGCGAGCAGCAAATGAAGTGGGGATAGTGAGATCATAGGAAAACCATAGGAAAACCATAGGAAAACCATAGGAAAACCATAGGAAAATGGAGATTTAATGGGAATATCATGGATATGTGATATAAGATGATATAAGTATATATGATACCCTCTGGTCAACGTTTAGCTAAATTGAAAATGGCCATTTAGCATGTTGATGTTGATTTGCCCATGAATAGCATGGTGATTATGTTCCATCGTTTTTTGTATGTTTACCAGGCCGGGTATCTTCAAATCAACCAATTGGCGGTTGCAAGGGGTAGGCCCTGGCACTGGTTTTCATCGCCTTTGTGGGGGCAAGTGTCGGCGACCACAATCTTGATCTCCTTTGAACACCGGGCCACAGGGAGCTGTGCAAATGATGAAATGTTTGGAAAATCTCCTGGGCGACAAAAAATGTTGCCTTTGTTGGTTGCAACAGTTCAAATGATCTGGAGTCTGGAGGACCCCAAAGTTAGTTCATCTTCCGACCAGCCTGCTCTTGTCTGAGAAATTTAGGGTAATTTAGGGATCTTTCAATAGATCAATGCCCTTCACTCCAAAAAGCCAGCGAGTTGAAGAAGTGCAACGTGCTAGGGATGCTAGGGAACCAGCCACCAACCTGAGAAAGGTGACATTGGCGGTAAATTTCCAACAAGCAGATGTCCAATGTCTACATAGGCAAGTCTTGCGGCCAGACTTGTGGGAATGCTGGCGATATGGATGGCCAGGCATGCCCAGCATCAAGTCTTCGGGCCCTGAAGTTGGAGGTGCCCAAGCCACATGTTTGTGCACCTCGCTGCCCATCCCTACGGCTGTGTCCTTGTTGAAGATGGGATCTTTGGGCTGAGCCCAGAGAGGGTATGAGAAGGGATGGGCCTGCAGAAACTTGCCCTTGGCGCAGCTCATGCAGCCAATGCCTGGCGAGCATCCAACTATGACCCGCCAAATCTCGGAATGTCTGCTATCTCTAGAGCTTGGCTGAGTGTGACTACAATAAACCAATCTTGCAATCTTGGATTTGGATGTGGGTCAAAATGGAAGACCGATGTGGGACCACAGATGGAAAAGTCTAGTTTAGTATTCACCATCCAATTCATGGGGTACCTAATTTTGACCCATACCCATTTGAAATCACATCCATCACCTGTCTGCAAGCGTTGCGCGGATCATCTCAGGCGATTTTGTCATCGATGCTGGAGGTATTCATGAACAGATCAGATCAATTTCGAAACCTTAGGTGCTTCAGTTCAGAAGCATCTGCAGTCTACGAAATCCATCGGCCTACGGTGTCACCGCGGGTTGGGCCAGCAGAAGTGCAGTAGTGACCATCGCCTATGGCCAAACAAAGGGCGTCCCACTGAGTGAGCGTGAAGGAAAAACTTTGAATTGTAGATATTTGATGAAAACAAACATACATCTATATTTGATGAATATCATCATATACAAATGTAGATATCATGGATGAAACGTTTGATGATACTTGTAGATGATGCATGGGCTTTTGGGTAGACCCAACAGAAGGGACTCCTGGAGGACTGCATAAAGTGAGAGTGATGTACAATGTGCACGATACCCTGCCAACACCGATTACCAGCATTCTATAAGCATCTCATGACTCATCGCTTAGTGTTGACACTTCTCTTGAACCTCGAGAATTGATGAGAATTACACGAATCACAGTTGCAATATGTTGCAATGAACACACGTCCCTATGTCTGAAGTGTTTGGTGGGCAAAACGTCTTGGCTCTGGCGTTCATCCGCGAATCATTGAACTGGCGCCATGGCACCAATACCATGCGCTTGCATTGACTCAGCCGAAGCCACTGCGTAGAAACCTCCCGTGAAGCTGATGAGGACTGCTCCAAGAAATGCTATTTGACTCGTCTCAATGAATCGCAAGTCAACGCATGGTCCTCCAACTTTGGGATTTCGCATGATTTCGCAATCCCCGATCTTCAAACTCACTAAAAAATCATGCAAGAACATCAAAGAAAACCCACATATGCTTATCTGATCTTACCCGGATTGGCAGCCACAAACGCAATCATGCTCCAAACAGACTCGGCGCACCAGTCCCCTTGACCAGCTCTGCAGTGTTCACTAAGCCACAGGAAGCACAGCAGGTGTCTCCGTAGCGAGTGCTGGTGGCAATATGGTCATAGCCCATGCCCCTGTCCAGGACCAGCTTCACACTGAGGTGAAAGCCCCGAGCCAAAGGGAAAATCACCCCTTTTTTTTGTCACTCAATCGAAACGAATCTTGTCCGCACTCTAACATATGCAAGCAATTGAAAGCAACTCGAAATGACGCAAGATGCAGCCTTCTTTCTTCAAGTCACCTAAAACATGTGTGACAACAAAACATGTTACTACTGATTATCACATCTTCTTAAATGTAACCTCTCAATAAGGGCCATCCGAATGAGTTTGTCTCTGAGTCAAAGGGTGGCTTCACTTGCCACTGAGTTGCAATCAGCACCCCATTCATACATACATTGTCATGTCTTATCATCTCGTCTCTTTGACAATAAAGCCTGTCCGACCAACCCACTCCTAACGGTACCAAATCCGGGTATGTACACCCTCCGCCCGCTTCATGATGTTCAAGAGCGTTCGAATGCTTGGATTATGATCGTAGCCGCCGCTGCGCAACGTCTCATTCCTCAGCGTTTCGACGAATGATCCATTCAGGTCTGTAGTTCCCTCAGGTCCGGATGTCGTGTTTCTGGAAAGGTTGGAACCAGGAACCCCCAAACTGCTTTTGTTTTTTAGTAATTTTTGTCGCGAGCAGAAACAGAATGGATCGCGTTGTCGCTTCTCATTGGTGGTTATTGACGGTGAATCGAATCGAGCTCGACTTTCGAGCCATGAGTTCCTTTGGCAAATGAAGATTCCTGAACCTCATGGCTAAGGAACTACATGGTTTTGCTGAGGATAGTTCATATTCATCTTTATATATAACAAAATATAATATAAATATAACATAAATATAAATATAATATATATATATATATATAATTATATATAATATTATATATATATACTATTATATATAATTATATATATATTATTATATAGCTATCATAGCTTTATCCTGAATGCTTGCAAAAATTGAGCATGATCCTGACCTCATGTCATCCCAGAATCGATGAACCTACCTGACTGATGCTTTCCTAGGCATCCCGAGCAAATACATTGGAACGCTTAGAACAAATCTACTGTAGATGTCTTGGAAACCAGAACGTCCTCCACCAATTGTTGGCTTTCGCGCATCTGTTTGAGGGATGATTTGAGGTTCCAAGCTTGAGATATTCTGGATATATCTGGATATGCCCTCGCATCATCTCGCCATGTTCATCATGTTCTCTCAAGCGTCGTGAGGGTGAAGTTCTCCCAGTACTCCGCACCTCGAGCCTTGCCTCCCCGAAGCAGATCTTCGGGCGCGGGATGAAACTGCCTCAGAGTTGTGACAGATATGACAGAGTTTTCCAACTGAGGCTCCATGCGCCAGTTTGACACTTTGAAATGTCAGGAAATGTCAGGAAATGTCATGTTGGTAGTACCGGTCATGACATCAGCCTCAAATATGGCCATCTCTCCGGGATTCCGGGTTTTTGTGAGTACACATTTTTGTACACCGTAGAAGTGCAACACTTCAACACGCCTGTAAGATCCTGTAAGCTTTTGCTCAAGCTCGGTACTTCGGGATGGATCCGCCCATTCTCCACTGGATATCAGGTGTGAGCATGGCCACAAACACGCACTGAGGTCTGGACGAAGTTTGCTCTGGGAAGTTGGAGCTGTTTGCTGGACCACCCACACGTGCCAGACATGCCACCGGTACTGTCAACACCTGAGAGTTTGGACAAAGTGCCCGAAGTGAGATCAAGGTTCTCTCGTCCGACAAACAATGTGCTTTGATGGATAATGCAGATACTAATTCTCATTAATTATCATTGCTCTTGCATGCTCTTGCTGTCCTTAGCGGCCTTAACGTGTAGTTTGTCTCAATGAACACAAGTGAACAGCTGATGATGCAGCAAACAATTCCAAGCCCCTCGCCTGACAATTGCTGCAACAATGGACATGCACAATTACAATATACATCGATCAATAATACAAAGATGTGAACAGCTTCTGCCAATCTAAGGCCGAACATCAGAAAAAAAAAAACGACAACATTCCTAGCATAGCGATGCTGATATCCTAAAGGCCGGTCGAAAAAATCTTCCTGGATTCACTTAATGTTTTGATCTCTGTGTTGTCACCGAAGATCATCAAATCAAATCACATGTGCCGTGGCCCATGTGCTTGCCGAAAATGTGTGCATCCAAAAGACCAAGAGCTTCATGGCCTGGGAGTGTGATTTGTAGGGATCGATGGATTTGACGTTTTTGGATCGGTTGAAGTTGTTGGACAAATGTGATGTGCATGGCACTAACTGCCAATATAATGCCAATTTTATAATGCCAATATGCATGTTTTTGATGGAATTCATGATCGACACACTTGGGACTCTATGAGGTGCAGATCCCTCCGGTCTTATTTGCATCCAGATAGGGAATGCATAGGAAAGGCGGGGAATCCAAAACTTGAACATCAACTTGACACATTGGAGACCACAGCTAAGACACATGACAGATTGGATGACTGAATGCTTTAATCATATTGAAACATGTTTCTTTCACCTACCCACCCGACTCGCACTCAAGCCATCATGTCTGGCAATCACCTTTGCAAACTCACCGACATTGCAGCAAGACACCATCTTTTCCCGTTCAAGTTCTGGCCTGTGAAATCTTGAGCCAAAACCCTGCCACTGTGGAGGCAACTGCAGACACCCGACTCACAAGGATTCACACGCCTGGTACATAGCAAAACCATGCAGCCGGGAACTGAAATTGAGATTCCCAACAACCTGGACAGCTTCAATACCCTTTCAGGAAATAACAAGTCACTATGTTGACATGGAAAATAAAAGGTCAGAGCCGGTCAGAACCGGTCAGAGTCAGAGTCTGGAAATACTGTATGTTCCCAATATTTTCCCAACATTTCCCAACACGCTGAAGAAACTGGCAGTTGTTCCGCCTGTGAGCCACTGAGCTCTCGGAAGGCAAAGGTCTGTCCGGACTGGAGGGATTTCAACTGATCCTGTGTTTTTGTTTGGGCATCGGCATAAATGGACGACGATGGGTGCCAAGTGCCAACATCATAAATGTGCGGGGTGAATTGGGTCTGGATGCAGCTCCCATGGTGGTTGAAATTCGAGTCTTCCAGGGATGACCCAATGAGGACGACCCTAACTGCCACGAAAAGTGTCCTTCGGCAGTTCCAGCAAGCAAAAGCGCGTCCTGGGTCAAATTTCAGATCATCACACCAAAGCTGGAGAACATCCCACATCATCCCACGGCAAACAAGTTGGCTTCTGAATGAAGCCCAATGAACATCGCATAATATAGAGAGAGATAGTTATTTGATCTAATGTGTATATATATATATTATATATTATATTGTGATCTAATCACTTGTCACTTGTAGGCCTGTGACCCCTGAGTGTCCCCGCTCTGGCTTCGGCGCCCGAAGATCTGACACTTCCTATACTACCGGAGTGACCGGGCGCCAGGTTTCGCAAACTCACGGGACCCCACATGGCCAAAAACATCAACAGATCATCAACATCTTCAAAAAATGATTATACAAATTATAGAATTATTACTTAATCTGCTTGGTGGTTTAGTTTCTACCCCTCTGAAAAATATGCAAGTCAGTTGGGATGATTAGTCTCAATATATGGAAAAATGCAAAATGTTTGAAATCACCAACCAGTAATTTTATATGTGATTTTGAATGCGTTCTGCTGGCCTGAAAGATGCCTATGATTTCAGGTCCCACTGAACAACGTGAAGGCAATAGCACGAATTGGCAGTGCTATTCTCAATTTTCTGCTTAAGTCAATTGCATCCTTAATATATATATATATTATTGTTATTATTATCATTATTATTATTACTATTATTATTACTATTATTGTATAGTTATTCATTTATTCAATATATGCAATAAATGACCGCAGCAACAGTGTGATGAACAGAGTCCAGAGGAGCATGAATACCAGTATGTTGAAGTAACCAATATTCAAATGCATACGAAGCCCCAAGGGCAATATAAAAAGTGGAAGATAGTGGAAGTGTTCTGGCATTTTTACAGGAGATGTAAGTCCTCCTTATATGTCAGCATATCTTCGTTGGTTTGAACCCTTCTTCTCGACCTCGCAAAATCCGGTGCATCGCTTCTTGCTATGTTAGATTCTTGGCAGCTTCACTCAGGAACAAACATCTATCAATACGAGCCATGTTTTGCCAATGCAATTTGATGCAATTTGCAACATTCAATAAAAAAAAGGCGGGGGTTGTGTTCTTAGTAATCTAGTTCCTTCCTGTTCCTTCAACTTTCTGTTTTCAAGCCTGCCTTCTTTTTGATTGGTCAGGCATGAAAAATCGCAGGAAATAAAGCAGGCTCTGTGAATTCTGCATCATGATATGATGCTTGTTTATGAATTCCTAGATTTCTGACCCTTTGGCATGTCTTGTTTATTCTCTACCTTTACTACATACAGTGGATCCTTTCCTGCCAACGGTTTTTAAAGTTTGTTTGCTCTGATGGCTGCAGGTAGGGATCGGTTGCTTGTTACTTTGCTTTGAACTCATGACTGACTTTACCCAAACCCGCCTGGTCCAGGGATATAAAGTCAGAGGAGTAGTACAAGGAGACGGGCTCACCCGTCGGTACCATGGCTTTGAGCAATGGCTACGGATCCTGGGTTACCCCTTCCAGTGGGTTGCTGGAAAGATGTTCCAAAATGTTGATTATAGATCTTCCAAAACCTCGCTGCATTCACATCCTACCTTGCATCTGCCTTGCCAAGTCAAGCCAATGAGCCAATGCCAAATGATGCCATCAGAAACATCTCACCTGAAAAGACATGAGCCTTACATGCCATAGCATGCCATGGCTGTATCATTCTGTATCTTGGTTAGCCAATCTTTTTGAAAAGCGCGGATGGCAGCGGTGGCACATCACTGCAGCTGTGTAAAATCCTCCAAAATCCTCCAAAGAGTTGATGCAAATGCTGAGGATGTCCATGTCCTTCCATGTCCTTCCCTTGAGACGCGTGACAAAAACACTTCCAATCTGAACAATGGCAATTCAGCTTCGCACTATTTTTTTCTATGTTTCAATACACAATCAACCTGCCCTGGGTATCTTTGTACCCACCAACTTCGATCTTCAGGTGGTGTGAGTCATGTGTATGTGAATTAATTCATGTAATCATACAAAATATCAACATGCCTCACCCATCCAACCTCACACCGTCACTCACACCTCTCCCACAAATTCATCACAGCTAAAGCTCCTTATCTGAATTGCAGGGACAGAAGCGATAGGTGCTCGAATCCGCACTTTGGCTACATCGGGTCTCTTCCTTGACCGTGGCAGTCGACTGTGATGGTAAAAGACTCGCACTGTCGCACCGTGTTGCATCTCCATAAGATACATAGATGATCATAGAATATCATATATGTGGGATGATGTGGGATGATATAGCGAGTCTTAAAACTACATGGCCCAGAATGGCTGTGGCACTTTGCTTCAGGTATTATACATTACATTACATTACTATACGTACCACAATGGTACCATGTCATACACCATACCAAAATCTACCAAAACCGCTGGGTTTGAGGTTTTGATTTTCATGGTAGGGTCAAGCGATGGATTCCCTTGACACAGGCGGCACCAAAGACTTTGAACACGTCATTTTTTGGTTTTGAACTTCATTGAATTTACTTTAGTGACAGCCACCGATCGCCCAAAGCCCTGTCCTTTGGCATATCTTCTGGACCCTTCCAGCCACAGTAGCGACCATCCGTGCTGGGATCATACTTGGCGCTGCCAGTCTGAGTTGACTCACAAACTTGTCCTCAAACAGTGCGCACGACTACAGTAATGCAGGACATGCAGGACATGCAGGACGCGGAAATTCAGAGAATAATTAGTTCATGTCTTCATAAATCCGGCGGGAGATTGCTTGACCGCTTGATCTTACAAATTTGAACCAAACCAAGAGAGATGGCACTCCAGGCCAGCGACAATACACCAGTGATCAGCCTAATGAGCTTGGCCCCACTTGCCTGCCAACTTGGAAATGTCATAGAACCTCAGCTCGGGAAGCACCCCAGGTCCACATAGATCACATGGATCGCAATATCCGTAGCAAAAATAAGGCAGAAAGCTTGTTCTCTGCTACCTTTTTGGTTGCAGGAGTTCTTTTAAAACAATTCTGGATATTCTGGTTGTTCGATCCTTCAGCGTCGCGGCTTTGTCTAGATCTAATTTTGGAACTGGAGATAGTGATGGACACTTTTGGAGCAAAAGCAGAGGAAACGCTTCAAAAACGGTGGAACATCGTCATGAAAACAGCATGCTTCGCAACATCTCATGCCATGCGTCCGGACGCATTTCTATTGAGTGTTTCGAATCTACGTCACGTGAAACTGCTAGTAACGTCATGTAACGTCTACTGAGCGAAGATCTATTAAACTGATCTTTCAAAGTTGCCGCCCCCCATCCACGTGCCAAATCAATCCAAATCAATGGTCCGATCTGTGCAGTTCAATAAATAAATAGGAGTATGTATGGAGTATGTATGCTTTTGCAGTAAATGACTCAACATCTACAGCATCTACCTCTCACTGAACATCACTGAGGTTCATACATGTACTGGTTCAACAGCCTGTGGCCAAGGGGCTCAGCATCCGTCTTTGGCCACGCATCTTCGCTGCAGCCGGAGCGACTGACGCAGGTCAAGTCGCAACTGGCACCGCCCGAGCCCAACACCCAGGTGACATCGGCGGCCGAAGCTGCCGAAGCGGCCAAAATTGGAAGCATCTGAAGCCTGGCGAAGTGGGTAGCTGGTCATAGCTGGTCGAGGTGACCGGGAAACATCCTGAAACATCGTGAAACATCGTGAAACCAGGACCAGGATGATCCAGGAATATCCAGGATAGTCCAGGATAGTCCAGGGTTCAGTGATGGATGTGTACCTCGTGCAACTGATTTCACATGACGGATCGCATCCCACCAGCCCTGCCTGGCTTTCATGGTCTTCATGGGTTAGTTACGGTGGACTCAGAGGATTTTATGGTCAGATATTGTCAGGTTGGCTAGAACTTAGAAGTTGAGTGTGAAGATGTTTTGATATGTTTTGTGATATCTCAAAACTAGATAAAAAATAACAACTATATTGGCTATCGAATTTCTTGGCCTGTTAAGCTTCACATCAGCACAGCACCGCATAGCCTTTGCGAGATCTACAGCATGTATATACACGTTGCTCAACGGCCTGAGATTGAGCCGAATGACTTTCAAGAAGATAAGTGCATCTGTTTTTGTATCCATCGATCAAACTCTCGCTGAAATTCATTGGAACTGCTGCAACCTGCCTGGAAATGGATCTACATGTAGAAGCACATGACAGCCCAAACCTCTGAAAGTCTAGTCAAAATAAAGATATGATCTGCAAAACGACACATAGTTTCTTCATAAATCTTGAGTACTTCAACCTTGTCCCAACAATTTTTGAGATAAAGAGTTAAATTGAAAGGGGATAAGAAAGGTGCAAGAGGAAGATTCTCTCTCTGCGGCATGTGACAGACATTGACAGACATAATATGTACATGTCGCAAAATGATGCAACTGTCCATGTTAACATCGCACAAGGACAAATGTTCCCGTCCTCAGCGAGGAGCGATGCGTGAAGTTGGAAAGAAAAGATGTGAGCCATGCCGGCCATGTTCTAAATGTCTTGCATCCTGGCACCAAATAAGGAAATGCTTGTGCTCTTGCTTAGGTTTTGCTTAGGCGCGCACAGATTTTGCTTACGCGGATACAGTATCATGTCTTACGCGGAGCTTACGCTGCTTACCCTGGCTTGCGCTCACCAGAGGTTTGCTTACGCCGCACCCTTCCAAGGGGCCTCTTCCCAAACATGAACACAATTTAGAACGTGGCTCATGTGGCAGTGGAAGCAGATAAAGATTGATGATGGGAACAGGATGTTGTATTCGATCACTGACCATACTAAACCTATATCGACATCACTTTGACCACCTGTGTCTTGAGAAAGGAAGTCCTGGATGACACTGGAATGTGAACCAACTCAGGCTTTTCCTGACATCTTCTGATTTTGAGGCGCTCATCCGCCCCCAACTTGCCAGTCTTTTGCCATGCAGCGTTCAAATGGTCACTGCTTCAATGTCTGTGTCCTCGCGGGCAGAGGAAAAGGCGCTTGCTTCGTCACTGCGCTGCAGTGTCCATGGCTTCAGAGAAGGTCCTTTGTACCAAGTACACATTGTGTTCTTTACATCCCTTTACACATGAGTACAGACTTGCAAGTTCCAATGGTGCATGACGCTTCAAAATTGCTGTACCTTCCCTTCCCTTCCCAAAAGAGGGGCGTGACACCGACACCTATCCTATCACCCAAAGAAAGGGACCTCGGAGAGTGCATCAACATCAGTCGGTCCCTGAGCACGTTGGAAAACGACAAAAACAAAAACATACCGTGCCAGTCTGGCGACCCACTTCTTTTGATGAGAACGCTCAAAGCACTCAAGACAACAAAAATAGATCAAAATAGTCTGTGAGCTTATAGTGTGATATAATTAATGATAACCATATATAACTATTATTATAATAGTGTAATAGTGTATATAGTTTGAAAATGTGGTGCTTGAATCAAGCCAACTCATTCCCTACTAAAGTCGTACATGTTGATCATCAAATATGGAAGAGCGCCTGTAGAAACCGTCCATCTTGTCACCGCAAACAAAGAATCGTTTGTCAGAGCAAATAGATATCAAATGTCTGAATCTCTTTGTGGAATTTGCTCTGAAGCGCCATGCGCAGGCTTAGTGACAAATCCTCAATTCTTCCTATACTTGAGATGGTAGCAAAGGTGCTAACTGCTAACTGCAACATCGACAGGTTTCAAAGACATTTACTGGCATGCTATAGGAAGCAATCAGTGGCACCTTTATGATCCTTGATGCGCCTGATGGTCGTGGACGACAATACCACTGGCTTCAACACCTGACTCATCGTCTGCCCTTCACCGCCGAGGGCCGACGAGTACTGTTCATCCCAGTGAATCCCCGTCTGTTTTTCAGCGATGAACAGTGAAGATGTGCTGCTGCCGAAGAACGCAGAACGGAAAACCATGAATCGAAGGTCGAAAAGTGCACCACCGTCGAAAAGTCTGTAGAAAACAAGATACGTACGAGATAAGTATTAGATAAGTGAGCTAAGTCTATGAACCCCCCCCCTCCCGGATAGAAAACATCGCCCAGCTGCCAGTACCCGCCTGCACGAACTCGTCGGCTGGACACCTGCGCTGGACTTCATGATGCGGGTAAATCCCATGTTAGATTCTCTTTTAATGTACATTAACTGTATGTAGACCCAGTGCTTCAGTCATCGCTGTATCAACTACATTCTTGGAGATCAAGGTTTAACCACGATACGACCACGATACGACCACGATACGACCACGATACGACGCTGTATATATATATATATAGCATTTTATAGCCATATCGGCATATGTTTCAGTATTATCAGATACTTCAAAACCACCTCCAAAACGAGTCAAACAAGCGTATGAGAGCATACGCCTTTTGTATTCACCTTCAATTTCTGCGCTTCACCTGCCCATTGAGTGTTCGAGCGCGCTATCTCAGCACATTCAGTCTCAAATTGGCAGCACGTATAGCTAGCACTCCTGTGATCGCGGTTTGCTCAGTTTTTTTGTTCATGTCCTCTATATATATATATAAGTAAAGACATGTCTTTCAGTGGGTTGCTCATTATTGTGCTCATTGTTTGCTCAGTTATTTTGCTCACGTTTTAAGCTCACTTTTCGCCGATTTGATGGGTAACAACTTCACCAAAAAAAGGCGCAAGGACAAACCCCAGAGCGAAATCTGGTGAAGCCTTGAATCGCACACGACATTGTGTTAGATGAATCATGGTTAAACTACGAGGCGGACTGCTGGGGTCTTTATATTATATAATTAAATATAATTAATATATTATATATTATACTGAATGGTCTTCTATGTCAGGTCTTCTGTCGACTTTCATGAATTGGGCAACTTGACCCGCTGTGCTGCAATCCTGTCAACTAAGTTGCTGGACTTGTTCGACTCACATTTTGGGAAACGTTTTTTCGGTGTTCCTGTCCAAAATCTCTCAAGACTTGCTAGGTTCACAAAAGGGTCTTCATGGGTCTTGTGTTGATTGTGTTGGAACAAGTACAGCAGAAGATGTCACTCGACAAAGAAAGGCACCTTGGTATTCTTCTCAATGGGCCTGTCAGCACATATATCAGGCAAACGCCAAAACGAGGTTGGCTTGTATCCCCAAAGCGACAAAATGGGAAGACACTCTTTTTAAAGAAAATCTTGCGACCTGAAGGATATGTGCATCGTTCGAACTCGCTCGATCCCATAAGCCAACCAGCTGCTCAACTTGTCGTCATCCTGCCTCACATCTTCGCTCTCGGAGTCCTCTGAGTACTCATCCTTTTCCTGGCAGAGCCAATGTCTTTTCAAAAAATGGGATAAAAAAACACCTGAAGTCAACCTTTCTATGCCAGAATCTTGATGGTTCTACCCAATCTACCCATAGCTACTGGAAAGCAAAAAAACATGCGTTCCAAATTGGTCATGGATTGACCGTGGGTTCATGTTGAACCGTCCCATCACAGGCCAGGAGCTCCGGATCGCTTCGGGAGCTCCTGGACGATCCATGTGTCAACATCACAGCTCTGTGTCACCCAGAACATCCAAAAAAAACTCCATGGCCAATTATATCGATTATGGCCAAAATTATGGCCAAATGATCAGATCAGAACATCCCTTCTGTTCTGGTGTTCGAAAATTTCTGTTCCAAAGCATGTCCATGGCCAAAAGAAGCCCCCAAAGGCCCAAAGGCCCAAAGCATCTCCTCATCACCATGGCAGAAACACCACCTAAAACACAACGCAAATTTACGCGTCGCATCTGAGTGAACTGGATTAATCCCCCTGAGAACGTGTGTCACCCAGAATCTGTCGTGAACGTCATGAACGTCGTGAACTGTGTAGCTTTGAATGCAATTTAGTCGCAACAAAATCCTGCCACCTGCAACAACGCCGACAACTCCTACAACCAACCTTGGCAAGTTGGGCCGCCATGGGCCACCGCTTACCCGAGTTTCGCACTTGTCAGATCAGGCGGAGGGCCCCAAGGCCTGCAAAGCAGAAAAGAGGCTTGATGCTTTGGAACAAGAGGAGCATACAAAATCCGACAAAATCTGACCTCATAGACTCTAGTCAAACTTCAGCTAGGAAAGAGGGGCGCCTGAACGGTTCATTAAACTGTATGTAAGACATGGTAAAAATAATCCTCGAAGAACATACGTAGATATGATCTGTGCTGTTTCTTTTGAAAGATTTGTAATCGTTTAATATGTCATCTTTCAAAATCGGTAGATAAGACACGACAAAGCCATCGCCTGAAGATGCTTCCACCCTGGCCGCTGGGACCGCCGGGCCTGACAAAAACTCATCATCGAAACCAATAAGAATTCCTACACTGTACGAAGTGACGAAGTGGTTGGTATTGGATGGTTGGTGGAAAACAACAGACAATCATACGTATTATAGATCACCAATATATAATCAATGGGAACATGATTGAACTATGATTGAGAAAGAAAAAAGGAAGTGTATGAGATTAGACTGTGTTGAAAACGCTGTCAGCGCATCAGATGGGCCTGTGTCCTTCAAAAAATATGTCTTTTTGCAAATGCGATGGATCCGCCTGAAGATGTTACTCGGTGGCGGCGGCATTCCAGACCTGAGCATGTTTTTTCTCCATAGCCGCAGGACGGCAGTGGTTGGTTGTAATCTTTGATGTGATGAAGCAGAATGAATTCTTGCAAGCTGAAAGCCGATTTTCAATGCAAAGTCAGGAGTTCCAAGTGCACTGGGTAAAATGTTCTTTCTCTCACACTTTCATCGTCATTTCTGGCTTCTTCACTTCATGCTTCTCAGATTTCTCGTTTCTTGCACAAAATAGAGCCGCTGTGGCCTGTTGGAAATGTGCAAAACATTCTGCTGCTTAAGTTTTAGTGTTTGAAAGGAGGATGAAGCATTCGCAAGCATTTGGGACCATTCCCGGAGATAGGATGAATTGAGCGGAAAAAACCGGTTGACACCTTCCAGAATAGAACAGAAACATCCCCAAAAACACTGGGGTGCCTGTGGCCTGAGCTGCCTGAGCTCACGACGGATTCCAACCCGGTCCAGGTGGCCAACCTGGAGGACCATGCAGACCAGGGGGTGGCATGCCATGTGGCATACCATGCGGCAGTGGTAGGCCGTGTGGCAGGGCATGTGGCGGCAGGCCACGCAGGCCAGGCACGCCAGGTAGGCCAGGCAGGCCAGGCAGGCCGGGTGGTGGCAATGGATGTCCACCTGGCAGTAATGGAGCTGTAGAAAATCCCAAATCTTGCACTGTCCGTGTGATTTAATCCATACGCTAGACCTTTTTTGCTGACTTGAAGTAAATGAGAAAGAAAATGCAAGAAAACTTTGCACAGGTCTGCCAGGAACGCTGGCAATAGTGGCGTGTGTCAACCCTCAAAGGTCTAAGGCGGGTATCTTGTTGCATGTGGAATTGCCCAGAATTATTCCAGTGTGCTGGATGAAGAATCGCATGTGCAACAGCTCACTGACAGACCTGCACTGATCCTGTGATTCCCTGGGCCTGGTACTGGCGCCGGTGCTGAAGCAAATGGAAGATGTTTGAACCTTGGGTCGAGCTGTAGCGTGAGAGGGGAGTTGTGGTAGGCATTGGCGTTTGCGGTGGGGCGGATGGTTTGGTCCCATTGAACTGAACTAAGGCATAGTGAAAGTTACGTGGTCAGACATTAACATACAATATACATAACCTAGTTTTGACTTCGACAACAGTATGTTCATGAGTCGTGACAGGTTAAACGTGGTGAATATTCGGGAATAGTCTACCAATGAAAACAGGAATCTTGGGACTCTTGCAAGAAAATGACTGCTGCAATCCATCCCGCTGAAAGAACTGCACATTTTTTATTTGAGATGAGAGTTTAAACTAATCCATTGTGGAAAAGCACTACATAGATCTACATAGGTCTACATAGCCCATAGGATCCATGTATGGTATATATATGCTAACATTGGGGGTATATTGATGGTAAATGTTACCATATATAGCATACATGGATCCTATGGGATAGTACTTTATTACTGAGTTACTACTGATTGTGGTGCCTCACACTTCCCTGGGAACTGCGTCTCTGCGCCTCCGAGGCCCCGACTTGCTCCGGAACCAAGACTCATGGCCGAAGTCCATGGCAACCTGCACCAGGTGAGATGACTTTCCGATGGTTGAAACGATGGTTGAAACGGTTGAAACCGTTGAAACCCCTGGTGTCCTGATGAATCCGGGGCCACGATTTGATTGAAGCCAAATTCTGGAATCACACCCTGGAAATCCCTGGGACATGTTTTTTATCTCAACGTAAAAAACCTTCCCTCGACTCAATAGAACCCAGGAAACAAGGCCAATATCCACCGCTCTTTTCAGAAATCATGAAAGAAATGGGCAGGTCACACATTGGTCCCTGCAGCTGCATCTTTCTGCGTTGGCACAGAAAACGACCGATTTAAAGGTTCAAGTTGAAGCATCAACTTTTTCCCCTTCCTATCGTTGTCAGAAGCGACAAGTTGCGATAAGAACATCCTAGTCCCAAACTTTCCCAACTTTCCCAACTTTCCCAACCACCACTTAAAGACTTATCACCACTTTGAACGGCGGACCGGTCGGACCGGTTGGGGACTGGTCGTCGGTTGGGTTTGAGCTTTGTCGTCGCGGTCACAATCGGCGCGTCAGCGCAGGCTCCACCGCGCGCTTGCCGACGCAGTGCACTAGAGGAAAACGGTGCGAGCAGAGCTGGCCCTTGCCATATATTCCAGTTGATACATAGATAAGATATGATAAGGTATGATAAAATATGTATATTATAGATATATATAGAGATATGTTATGTAACATAATGAGTTTCTGAATGTTTGGAATGTTTGTGATACATCTTGACACCACAGCTGCATCCAGTGGAAGTCTTGGCCCAGTGCTGCCCAGCTCTGCTCGTTCCAAACGCGAGCAGTCACTGCGTCAGTTGCTCCAAACCTCGCAGCGCATTTCGATTGAGGAAGTTCTTGAAGCACTCGTTGAATGACGGGGCTTCGAAGAGGTCGGAAGAAGCACTGATCATGTTGAAATATGTTGAAGCATGTGTTGGTTTATAAGCCCTTATAGATGGTTATATGGCCTTATATGGTACACATGCGTCATCATGATGTCACATGCACATGGCATGACGTTTTTGGTAGAAAACGTGCAGGGAAGAGTAGATCTTTAGCAGTTTCAATCGGTCTCTGACATCCTGACACTCGCTACATGGATACCTGGAGGACGGTCGTGAACTGCCAAAAAACCTCTAAGTCCTTGAGTGGAAACTTACACAACCTTTCATGACGTTGTTCAGGAAACAGGGACAATGTACATCAATGTACCACGTACATCCACGTACTCTGTGTATGAATCTCAACTTTGTTTGTCCAGTCGAGACATATCTAACATATTCATACATATTCTAACATTGTAACATAGCTCTACCAAAAGCAAGGCAACAAACTAGTAAATCTCTCAATTTCCCTCAATATCATGGGAAGTCATGGGATGCTACCGATGGTACCGGCATTTCCAATCCAAGGAACGGCGTGAACGCCCACGACGATGCTGATGGAGCCCACCAAAATCTCAGCCGGTGCCGAGTCGGGAAAAGGTATGCTGACTTCGTCCCTTCCGAAATGCAAACATCAAGCATTTTTGACCAAATGCTGGCTGAAGATGGCTGAAGCAGGACTTTTCGTGCAATCCTACATGAAATCACCTTTAATCCGGAAGGTCACCAGCTGAAGGGGATGTCTGACAGCAAGACTACCAGAACACGGCTTGTTGGGTTCAGCCGCTTGCCAAGGTTTGCTACAAGTACAGTAATATGCTTTTCAGTGAACATGGGTGCAATTTGGTGTATTTTATTTGAAAAACAATGGTGGCCCGTGTTTGCGAATGGATCCATAGCATCTCTGAAATCTCTCTGAAATCTCTCTGAAATCTCTCTGAAATCTCTCTGAAATCTCTTGCATCTCAGCCACAAGAAGGGAAGTGTAGACCTTAGCTCAAGATGCTCTTTTGGTACTTCGTGGCATGGGGCGGCCGTCGCTTGGGAAGCATTGCCAAGTCTTACCATGTCTTGCCAACGCATTGTGGATGAAGGATGAAGGGAGAAGCTTTATCCAAGGCACAGAGAGGGGCCCATTGTATGGAAGCAGCGCCTTGCCATTCAGGGGCATCGAAAGACCGCTCTGTCCTGGTGTTCATACTACAATGATCATACCGGGTTGGGAAATGTTGGGAAATTATTTATGACATTTCATGACTCACTATGGCATCCTATGGCTGCGATTCATGTGGAATATTTGATGAATATTGATATTAGCTGTGGTGCAATTGCGGCTTTGCTCGACCTCTAAGTAATACTTGGGGTCATGAAAGGCATACGTGAATTGAGGGTTTCCAATGCTAGTAGACAGCTGTATCGTGATGTCTCGTGAAATGACAGGCGATGTTTTCAAGAATCGCTTGGCGGTTTGCATCGGTTTGCATGCTAGGATTGTGTACCAGGTATCGCCCAGGGATTCCTGGTAACCGAATCTTGCAATCCACAAACAGCGACGAATTGGCTCCTTTTCTGGACAACTTCAAGTACACGCTGGAGGGGCCTTGCAGGCAGCGGGACATAACGTCATTGTTAAGTTTTGCTGCATCACCGAGTGGTTCACTGAAAATGTGACCGTCAAGTGTCAGCTGCTAGAAAAATGCTCGAAGAACTACTGTAGACTTTGGGAAACCCTAGCATCTCTGCTGCAATCTGCTGCATGAGTTTTCCGATTTGTCATCCTCAAATCCAGGCCTGATGGCGACCGTTTGTGGTTCACTGGTGACTAGGGCTATGCCAAACTCAAAGAATCACAAACCCAATTACTGATCATCCGCTGATCATCCGCACTCATGCTGCTTCAACCCTAGAGATATGAATCAGTGCGGGTGGAACAAGGAAAGAAAGCAGATTCTTTTCTCCATGAAAGAGACATAAGGAGACCTGATCATTCTACCGACATCTGACTGAGGTGCTCACAAATCCAACATAGACTCGAGCCGACCACTGCGCCAAGGGTTCCGGTGACTTTGGAAACGTCCTCACAGGGGGCAGTGGGCGGACAACATGACCACGTTCCGTTCTTGAAACGCGTGGCCGGCCGTTGGAACACCAGTGCGTCTGTTCGAAGCAAAGCAAATCAAGGCAATGAAGAATGCTTTGAAGCTCAATTTCGATATATTTCGATGCCAGTCTCTGCTTAATCATATCCAGCATGCTCTGTGCCCAAGGGGATTCTCAGGGATTGCATCTCCAAAAGCGATGTGAAAGGTACCAGGGGTATCTATTTGATTTTGCATTTCTCATTATACTCACTGTGCAAGATCTCCCTCAGCAGTATGGAGTTGTTCCCAGTTGCCATTTCAATTTGGGGGTCTTCGAGTGTCTTCGGGCTCCTCAACACAGCAAGCCACTGAAGAGATCAAACAGACCATGGTGCAAGTGATTGCCACCTGGCTCGCTCCCGGCATCTCGTGCCATCTGGGAACTGAGTATCTGATCTCGAGACAGGTGAGTGAAGGGATTAAAACTCGAGGATCACATCCAAAAACATGCCACATAAATTGTCAATAATCCACGATATGTCACAGAATATGTCACAAATCTGACAACATCTGACAGCTTGAAAAATATCGAAACACTTGATTGCTGTACCTGTTGGGGAATGCCCAAAGCTTGGGTATTTGGTATGTTTGAAGAGACTGAGGAGTTTAGTCTGACTGAAACGATATCCAGAAGCCGTCATGGACTCAATGGCCCAAGCTGTTGCTGGGCCTCTAATTTGTATGACCGTGTCAAGACACCGTCACATACTCCAACGTGTTTGCAACCCTTTGCTTAACAGTCTTGGGCATTTGCCTAGCTAGGAGCAAAGATGAGCAAAGCATGTTGCGCAGCAAGCCTCAGCTCTCTGCTTTACACTCGCACCAGGAGCCAACCAGACATAGCTGGTTAATGCTGTTTACTCTTATATGCTATTGGAAAATCTATTTCCATGTTTTTCTTCGATCCCTCGGTGAAATATGAACTAACTCATCATTGCAAGGTTTGGGGTTCCCAATGGCTTCCCATGTCTGAAGCCAAGGCACGTGTGCAAACAGGGGCTGCCGTCTCAAAGCCTGGACTCACATCGACTCACACGACGACGGTTCCGAGGGCTATGCATTCTAGCGAAGCAATGCCGAAGCAATGCCGAAGCAATGCCGAAGCCTCAGAGACTTATGAAACCTTATGAAAATTATTGAAAGTTTATGAAATATCTTAAATGAGTTCGACCGATTTCAATCTGTACATATCTGTACACTGCACTTGTTCAACGACAAACCACACCTTTAAGACCTGTAATGTAAGATCTTTAAGGTCACGAAATTCACCAACTTCCAATATTGCTGGCCATCAGCTGGGTGGGCCTCCTGCAGAAAAGGTTGACTTCCCACCAGAGACTCTCGAGCAGCCGTAAAGACCAGCGGGTAGGTGAAAATGATCGCCTCTCAAATGCTCTGAAATGCTCTGAAATGCTGCGCTGTGGCTTCTTTTCAAAAGGATTGGAGCGCTTCTTTTTGTGTCATTGTGTCCATCAAAACGCGCCCAAATTGGAGCTATGAAGTGCAGGAACGCTACTGTACGTACTCCAAATTTATCGAAAGACTAATGAAAGACTAAATCTCCGTAGCATCATATGATTTCCACATCCGACTTGCCCAAGAGAAGGCCAAGGCCAAGGTACGAAAGCCATGCCAAACCAGACCATCCTGGATGACCATGCAAGTACCGCAATCCAAGGGTGAGACAGGTGGACAACATCTAACTGGGTGTTTAGCGGAGGCATGCGGAGGCTGGGTCTTCCGAGATAAAGCAGCTGACACCCTCAAAACCACTCTTTGACAAGATTGCGCATGCAACAGATTCATCATGATTCATCCTAAGATGATAGAAATATATAGAAATGGTTTTGAAACTTAAACCGTCAAATATCAGCAGCAGCCGGCCAAGAAATCAGAACCAATGGAATGGTAGCGCAGCAGTCGCGCATGTCAAAGTAAGAAAGTCCCGAAGGTTCTCTCACGATAACAGGACATACTTGGACATACCATGGTATACCCCTCTTGACCAGCGTGCCAATAGTCTTTTGATGTTGTTTGAAGTGCTGTGCATTCCTCAACAATTTGGATATGGCGTGCAACCGTGATTTTGCACCGGGGGCGTTGATTCAAAAAAAATGTAGTAGGACATATTGAGACGTACTAAGACGTATTACGGGGGCACCGTTTGAAGGTCCGCCTGAGGTTAGTGAGTTTGGTACCATGCAAGATGTACATTTGGTCCCACATTGGAACTTCATGAAATTCCCCTCAAACAATTTGGATGGTCAGGGGTGGTCAGAAAGTGCAATGGGGTACGTGGGTGGTCTTTGTTCGCCATGGTGTCATCAGGAAAGTGATGTGCCATGTGAAAGCTAGAGGTGACGATCCCTGTCGTTATCCATGAACAGGGCTAGCTCTCCCAAACTGCAGCAAAGTTTCATGATTGCAGTGTTGTCAGGATCGTAGTTTCGAAGCACGTTGCCTGTCTCCGATGTTCTGTATCACAAGACATCAAAGCACAAAAAGTGAAAGCAGATTCGTGTCTGGTATGTCTGGCTGTTGTCGGAATTGAGGACATTTGAGGACCATACCAGGGACACCAATTCCAAGAAATATCAAGAAATCCTCAAACACCAACATCATCCAACATCATCTGGCAGGCCCAGCCAGGCCTAAAAGCTTGTCGCCAAAGAGCCCCAGCCCAGATACCGCGAAAAGCGAATAAACCTGGAGGGCTTCCGGGGCGGCCCCACTGGGGCCCAAAAAAGCCCAAAAAAACTGCCCTGCAATCCGGATCACTTTGAGACGTACAACTGTAGCTGACAGGTTAAAAATGGTTAAAAGATTTGTTGACCCATGTTCACCTGCTCAATGATCGAATGAATCGAATGTGTCTTACCATTCTCAGCCATTTTGGGAAGGATGGCTTGCTGTGGCTAGACTGATGTATCAACTGCTTTACTCCAAGCCACAAACAAACTACTTGGGCCACTTGGGCGAATGTCAGAAAGAATATATAGCCTAATTAGTAGCCAATCAGTATCAATATTATCAATCAGGAATCTAAATTTGATCTCATCGTTTCCAGACCCGGCAAGTCACTGTGAATGCTGTGCTGAAGCTGGCAAGCACCGTCTGCGCATGAGCTTGAAGATCTCCATGCAACCTACGGTCCGGATCCCGGAAAGTGTGGCGAATGGATCAGCTATTTTCTCAGCTAAAACCATCTACCCCCCAGTAAATTAACATAGACCCTGGTAGATAGGGGTTGGAAGATTAGTTTCCTCTAAAAATTGGTGATTTTCAGGGTCTATGTTAATTTACCAGAGGGTAAAACCATGATGGCAAATGCCTCAGAAATCAAGAGTCAGAGCGACTTCACACCAGGACTCTGTCTCTACCGTTGTGGTATTGTGGTGAGTCAGGTCATATCAGATCATCGCTCATGAAAAAAATCATGCAATGTAGCCCAAGACCAAGAAAAATCAGCTGTGAAGCTTCAAACTCCGGCTTTGATGGCAAAATCGCTGGCAAGAAATGGTTAGATACTGTACTTCCATGTACTTCCAAGAGGAAAAGAGAAACGGTGAGGAAATCGACTCATCACACCTCACCATTTTAACCCTGCATATCGCTGCAGCGAAACTCGAGTCAATTTCCTAGCAGCAGTCAATAATTAGTGGTCATGTCAGACTGTAGCCGTGGCACTGTTTGAAAATTCGAGGCGCATTGTAGTGTGCCTAACAGAATGAGCCGCTCACAGAATCATTCATTAAAAAAAGAGTGGAATAGATTTCTCATGATCCGCTTGGTATACGGAAAGTCCGTTTCCACCATATCTATCACAACATCTCAAAATGTCTTGCAAGTTGGAATACCGCATAGACCGTCAGGCATTCCAAAGAAAAGAAGGTTTCTGATTGGTTTTCATTGTGTTCGCTCTTGCCTTTGCAACGGCACCAAAATCCACCAAATAAATCCAAATATAACGAATCAAGTGCAAAGCTCTTGATAGAATCGCAAATTCAAGATTACCCTCCGGTAAACTAACATAGCTATGGAAAATCACCCTTTTTTATGGGTACCACTATTTCTATGGCATTCTATGGCCATTTTCAATAGCTTTTTGTATGTTTACCAGAGGGTAACTCCTGGATCACGTAATGTCAACCCCGGATTAATAAACCCTGGTTTATTAATTAGGGGGGTACCCTTCCAATAGTCATAATATGATACTTAAATGGTACCCTCCCAATTAAACAATCTAGGGGTTTATTAATCCAGGGTTGACATTACTCATACTCTGTTGACTTCGACATCTTCGACCTGTCACAGATCCTTCACTCTGTGGCACCTGAAAGGCACCTGTGCAAAGCGCCACCGTGCGAAAGATGCCCATGTTCAAGTGTGCTGCATGTGCCTTCGCCGTCGAAACGTTACCGGGGGGTCATTGGGGCCCATTGGCCCACTCAGCCACTGTTAACATCTTGCCACCGCAGAGCATAGCATGCAACCCGAGGCCAAGCAAGATAGGAATATCATAGGAATATCATAGGAACATCATAGGAATATCATAGGGATATATAGGGATATCTTCCTGATCTCTGAGACCGTCTTCATCTTGTTCTGGATATTTCTGGATGGTCAGGGATCACCAGGCCTTGAGGTTGCTCGGGGCATCCTCAGACTTCCAGCAGTCGGAAACAATGAACCTTGCCAGGACAAATCACCGAACAGTGCCACGGACAACTGGTGGACGCAACTGGAAACAAAAGACCTCACAGTCCAAATGAGTAGCTTTTGCCTAGGTCCTTAGGTGCCTTGATTTCTATCAAATTGTGTCAACAATGCTGGAATTGCACTCAGATAGAACATGTAAATGAAATTAAATGAACATGTTATACCACACTCCAACCTTCCAAATATTGCAGTCCACCACTTTGATAAGTTACACTCACAAATGGTCCGATGTGAAAAGGTCAAGAAGAATCTAACAAGAAGAAGAAGAAGACGACCAGCGATCTCGTCCGATAGCCATTCAATCCATGGAATCCAACAATGATCTTGGAATCCTTTGGGGTTGGCCGCGGCTTCATCTTGCATCCTGGCAACATAAACCTTGGATGTGGCAGCCGAGTTGGTGGCAACCAAACCAAACGACACGGATCGACAGGGCAAATCATGGGAAAATCATGGGAAAATCATAGAACATGTGTGGATTGTTCCACACCACTCACACAACACAACAAACCTCCTAGCTTCTACCCAATACCATTTCAACTCAACCTGTCGATCGTGTCGAGCTGCACAAACGCAATGATCACAAGGCCCATCATCGACGTGTAGCGCAACGCAGAGAGATCTTTTGCATGTGAAAGTGGCAGCATGAAGCAACCTTGCTGATCCAATTTGACAAGGCAAAAAGAGCTTCAACATTTACATAACATGGGCTGATTCATTCGTGATTGTAGCATTGCGACAGGCTACATTTCCTCACTTTGGCTGTGTTGAAGAACTACGGCAATGGTTGCCTTTTTACATTTTTGCACCTGCAGAATTCATAGCAACAAGTGTGCTATTGGATACTGAATTACTATTGACATCCGTTGACATCTTCACCTCCCAAAAGCAGCAATCTGTGTGAGCGCAGCAGCTCGAAAGCACCAAGGCGCTGGTGTTGCCAGCGATCAGCATGATCCGATTGGGTACAACGCCAAGCAAACCCTCCGCCGCTTTTTGCAGAAAGTCTGCGACCAGAATGGTATATGCGACGCCTCAGTTGGCAAACTACGAATGTAGAGATGTGAAGAGATACGAAGAGATTGTATAAGTTCTAAATGAATCTCATATTAATGCTACCTATACAGCCAAGGTGCATGCAAAAAAGCCATTGGTAAAGATGAAGCCATCTATCAGCGTGCCAGCTCTATTGCCAAAAGCTATGCAAAACACTTCCCTGTAGGTCCTTGGCCGGCAGGGTCCCAGGGTAGCAAGCGAAGTATGCGGACTATGAACTATGAACCTGAAATGCAGTATACGATGCATACGATGTATACGCTTGAAGGATTTGCACCAAAAATTTACACAAACGGTCTCCAGTACGGGCAGCGTCAGCGAAATCTGTCAAACAACAACATATGATATACAAATTGTAAAGAAAATCCAGTCGAACATGAGAAAATCCAGTCGAATCCAAAAAGATTGCGAATAGCTCGGTGATGTCCTCCGTAGGTCCTGCATATAGGTCCTATCTCAAAGTCGTTGACATAGGTCCGTTCACTTTGTCAAACAGCCAAGCCCTGAGCTAATGACTCACATCTCAAACGCTTGCAGAGGTAAGCGATGAGAATAAAGCTACTAGAGCAGAAGATGCAAACCTCGCCAGAGAATACAGGTGTACGCTACACATCAAAAGGTTGTCCTTACATTTCCATATGGCAGTGTGTCAAAACCTTGTACCCCTGGTGAACATCAAAATAGCTGGTAAATGGATGTTCATCCCACTAAAAATGGTATTAATAGGTATTGGTCCATACCCATATGTAAACAAATCTCGAGAGGAATTATTCACATAAATCTGCTGCTATGCAGGATGGTTGGTTCAGAATCTGAAAAAAGAACTGGAAGGTGTTCAAAGTAATCTCTGAGCGTTCGACATGGTCCGACCCTTTGGGCCAAGGCTTCCGTAGAAACTCTCAGACACATCAACCCCATGACCACGTGATTTCAGCTGTCCCGTGCTCAAAAAGGTCCTTCTAGGATCGATACACTGAGGATACTGAGGAGTTGCAACCTTCGAAAGTAAAAGTGACGTAAGTGTATAGGATGTGTATAGGATGAGTGCCGTTCTTCCTTGAGAGTTACTCTCAGAATGCTGCACCGACCTTAGAAGCCTTAGACCCCCCATGACCGCCCTATCGACTCGATCCGGGTGGCGGTGATCATGGCACTGAGACCAGGGATCACTGAACCAGACTTTAAACCACTTGGGAGGCTGAAGATTCCGGCACCGATCAAGTTCTTCGTCAGGTTCATCCAGGCCGCTGTGACGGGCGGAGGTCCCGGTCCCTGGAGACAGCTACAGCACCGGCCAACAAATCCAGTGTGGAAAGAAATGGCATGGAAATCAACATGTATGCATTGTATGCATCATTCATACTCAATGAAAATTTGATCACATCAATATAGTCTGGAAATTTTAAGACCTTTTTCCTGGTGCCATTATGCATCATCGTGCTACATCCTGCTTCATCCCCAATTCATCGCTGACCCGCCCGACCATTTTTTCCGTGCACCTTCTCTGCAGCCTGTGCGAAGCCATTGGACCAAAATGGTGGGATCGAAGTTGATAAGTTGGGAACGATCAAATGCTTGGAAAATCTTGGAAAACCATCAAGGTTTTTCGATCCCACCATGCTAGATAATGGGATCAAATGCTTGGACACTGTTGGAAAATCTTGGATCTTGGCGCCATTCGAAAAACATCGAAAAACCAGCATTTTGGATGCATCATGATGCTCCTTAAATGGCTCCATAATTAGGCATTCTTCAGTGCCACCATGACGTGCATCGCCACGATGATGACACCCGCCTTTGCTGCCATGGCGCTGGAGCCGCTGGATCCAGCACCTGGAAGCAGCCGGCAGATTTTCCAGCACTGTGATGCTGTGATGCCCCAAAGACCCAGAATACTTCTCAAATAATCATAGTCCTACCATGTCCTACCACATTTCTCTCATATGACCACGCAAAAAAATGCATTCTGCTCTTTGCCACAGCTCCACATGGCCGACATGGCAACTCTACCTGGCTGCCAGATCATTGATTTCACACCAAGAACCTCATCACATCTTACACGGCTTGACCTTGCCATCCACCCAAGGCACTCGATACACAGAATACCGATCTTATCGTTGTTTCCAGGTCTTTATGATGGTTTTGTAGAAGGTTACACAGAATAATGATACGATACTATTGTCTATTATTAACTATTATCTATCACGAACCATCATGAACCTGCACGTCCCAAAATTGGGTCACCCTAAGCCCACGATTCATGAGCTGTCCTTGCAAAATCGACTACACTGGTTCTGGGTGGATTTGGGGGTCCATGGATGTCCATGTTTCGTAACAGATCCAATTCTTCAAATCAGCGTGTTTCATCATGCAGCGCGCTTGCGCGCAATGCAGCGCGCAAGCCTGGATTGTGTGGCGGACCCGTGGCGTTTCCGGTCTGTTGGCTTGATCTTCAAAATGGCCATGCGAAAGGGATTGGGCAAAGGTTCATGCTTCCTGACTTCCTGAGTTATTCAATTCTAAAGCCTCACCTTGCGAGAATGCCAGATGCTTGCGGCAAAAGGTGCAGCCTTTGGGAGCTTTGCGAGTGACATAATCCTCATGTGATTTTTAGCCCAGAGTGGATATCGCCAGATACAACCAAACCAAGTCAACAAATGTCAACAGTACATGATGTGCCCGTGTGTCCCACGGCAGTGACTTAGTTAAGAGAGGAAGAAGGCCCAAACATGCCCAAACCAGGTTTTCCGCGCACCGTTCCCACGAAGGTGGACAAAGCCACGGCTGGGTGCTTGGACCTCGGGCAATGAACATCAACATGCAACATATTTCAACATCATCACCGAACATGTTCCGCCATGTTTTATCCAGTTTTCATGGAAAATGTACACTAGGTCCTTCTTTTCAGAATGTGCTTGGCAGGCGAGCCCCACAGAGATTTTACAAAGCTCCATGACAGCCGCGCAAATCGTGGGAAGATCCACAGGGAAGTGACACACACACACACACACCACCTGTCCCATCTGTCGTGTGGTCACATTCAGATTATCTTTCAATAAACCTTGTCCCTGCAACAGCTGAAAGGCACCACTCGCGTTTGGATCATCCATTGATATCCGAGGCACGGGTTGGTCGTCTTCACACCTTGACTTTCAGACCACTCGCAGAAACTCATCCTCAGCTCCCACTTTCATACCCACATAGTTACCGGTGGTATGGAGGGGTGGCAGGGCATGGACAAGCTGAGATTCGTTGCTACTCCCACCGACGGCTATTCATGGGCAAGATGTCTAGTTGCAAGGCTAATCCTCAAACATACTAAAACAATGTAGCATGCACTGGTGATAAGAAATTTAGAGACAGCATGTTGCAATGGTCTATGGTGGTGCTGATTGCCTAGGCCTAGGTTGATTGGCCAGACTGGCAAGATGTTTTCCGACAATATAGAGACTCCTGCTATTTCTGCTGCGGTTGCTTGCTGCTACTGAGGTGCCATAAGACAATCAACAACTCACATAGGTACCACAACAGCACCAGCATAAGCACATGAACAAGATGACGATGAAGAAGAAGAGAAAAATGATGAAAAATGAGAAAAGAACCTGTAACAATTTGCCGCGAAATGCTCAAATAATTACTACTCAAAAGCCTTGAGATTGAAACATCCCAGGCAAATCTTAGGCCAGTTGAAGCGAAGAATTCCAGGACCTCGCTGATTCCTGAGTCAAATGCCATTTTTGTTTGAAGCCGCTGGATGAACGAAGTCCATCCTGCCGTGGATTTATGATCCTGAGACTTGGGGCATCTCAAATGACCTTCGCAATTTTTTCGCGAAGTGAGATTTCGCAAATTTTTGGAAAAGCCAGCAAACGATACACAACAAACGACAAACCGGGGGACATGCTGTGATCTTCTGTTTCTTCTGAGGGCAAGTTTTGGAATCTCTGCGGATGCCCAGCCTTGACAAGATCGATGAGATCTCTCACGGGTAAAAGCCCTGCACTCAAAGCCTCAAAGGCAGCTCACTGCCGCCCAGGACTCGTTGACAATCCCAGTAATTTGCTGGTTTGGTTAAATCATCTATAATTATAGTTACCTTTTATCTGTCTTTAAATATGGCTAACTTATGATAACTTCACATGCTTAGCCGGATGAGAAATCAAAAAGAGAGGACATGAGAAAACCCAGGCTCCGGCACTGGTCGACTCCCCAGATGGTCCAAACAGCACCGATGATCATGGACGCAAAAAGATGCAAAAAGCACTCGCGTGCTTGGGTATGGTTGGGTGATGTTGCGATATGTTGGGTGAATTCTTCGGCAAAGGGGTAGGACCGGGTAGGACTGAGCTGCCAACAAAGTGTTGAAGCTCTTGTTTGCGTGCCTGATCAGCAAAGAATTGATCATGAGATGTCTGTGAGGAAGAGCTGATGGAACATCTTCCTCCAGGCGACTGTTCAGTTTGTTCCATTGGACAAATCTGCCACTGCTCGCCTCAAGCGACGTCTCCTGCGCAGCAAGCTGTAGTCAGCTGTAGTCAGCTGTAGGCAAGGTGGATTTAACATGATTTAACCATGGAAAACCAATTCGGCCCACACAGCCAACAACTGTCAAATGGCAGCACCGGCACCGTCGACCTAAAAATCTTCTAAAAGCTGCTGGCTTTCCCAAGGTGGAGCCACCATGATCAGGAAATACGAGAAGGGCACAATCTCGACCAAAAAATACCAAAAATGTCTCAAAGTTGATACTAAGTATACTATATAGCCTCTAGTATATATATATATATATAATTATATATATAGATAATGCTGATATTCGTTTTTATAGCTGTCAGCCGCAAATATGCTTGTCCAGTGCATTCCTCCTGGAAGAATCGTCCACTCGTAGGTAATGAAAGCATTGATAATGATCGTTTCTTACAAGTTTCAATATTATATATACATCATTATACATCATTATACATCATTATACATCTATCAAATACATTCAAATACCTTCCGTGAGGTATTAACCCTACGATTTTTCCAACGTCCGAAAACATCGTTCCGCCGGTGAAATTTCCCCGGGCCTCGAGTCCAAGTCTTTGGGACTCACCTTTCGCCAAGGTCACCTGACAGGGCAGCCAGTCTCCTACATAGAGACAGAGGCTGAGGTATGTTGAAGTTCACCAGCTGAAAAATATATTTCAATTATTTCAATATGCTACATCAATCAAAAATGTCTGGGGCTGAAGGGGTTGAATTTGAGCTGTGGCCAAAACCTGAGCGTCATGTTTTTGTACCTGTACAATGGGTATTCTGCGGACACTTCCGCACTTCCGCAACGCCACGGCTTTCGCTTCCGCAAAAGGTCCCAAATTAGTGGGGCCTTCCATCGCGTATTCCCTCAGTTTAGCTGAGGAGACATACGAGAGGATCGTCTTCATTTAGGTTTCCGCGGCGCTTCTGCACTGCCCCTGCCTGTTTATATTTTTGAATATGTGTTTGTGAGTGATTTGTATGTATACAATGTGAGCCCCCAGTTATAAGTTGGTTTATAAGCCCCAGTAACTATAGTTACTATAGTTACTATAGTTATAAATACCATAAACCATGGTTATTGGAGTTATAAACCAACTTAGCTATCTTGAGGGCCTCACATTGTATGATATGTGAATATATGTGATATATACACATCATCCTTTTGAAACCCACCCGGAGCACACCAGCGAGACACCGGCGTCAAACCTGCAGAGGAGTGTAGAGCGCTTGAGTCGGCGCCTGTGGAAGACGCATCCGGCTCAGCTGGCCGTGGAAGCTGGCATCATTCATCGGATATCAACTTGCATGGCATTTTCTGAAGGGTTTGAACTGCATAAAGTAAGGAAGCGCAACTGTTATCAGCAAGTCTGGAATCCTTGACCAATTAATACCAATTACATTCACAATGATTAAAAAAAAAAAACGCGCAACTGGGCACTGGCCCTCCAGCAATTCAGCAGCCAGGAAATGTTTTGGATGTTTTCCGTTGAAAACCAAGAAATCAAGTCGGAAGTCACAAGTATGGCGAAGTAAACCCTTTTGTGGACACAAGTCACCAGCCTTAAACTTGACACAGTCTACTGCTGCTGTGTCAGAGGATGCCCTAAGCCGACCTAACCCCTTTTGCCAGTAGCAAGCTTGAGGATTCTGCTGGCTTGTCGTGAAGTTCTTGAATCGCACGATGAGCCTGAAAACTGCCAACTGGCCACTGCCCCAATAAATAATATAACTTGGTATGTATGTGTATATATATATGTGTATATATATATATATGTGTGTGTAATATACACATACACATGTGTATATACATATATATATATATATATATGTATATAATTATGCACAATTATATACATATAGAACAAAATGCTCAATAAAATATAATAAAATCAAATGCTCAATAACTTGGCCCACAATGGTCCATTCCACATTCTGCACCTTTTGATTGTTGATACAAGCATCCTTTTTTTACGTCATCCTGTTGCCTGCTGCTGTCAGAAGATCCGAAGATATCCGAAGTAATTACAGAATTAGAGACTTAAGGTACACTTAAATATTAACAAAATTCCACCTTAAATTTCCAGCAACATTTCATCACCCTAATATTTTAAAGGGGGAATTCACCATGATTTCACCATAGATGGTACCGATGTTACCTCCAAGATCTCCAAGAGGCCTGTTCCACCGTGGCCAGGCGTACAAAGGCACAGCCCCCTTGGGGAGCCTCTGCTCCAGGACTGCATGGACTGTGCTCTGTTGGATGCTCCCTTGGTGACGTTGGTGGTTGCTTTGTGTATATTTGATTATATTTAAGTGTATCCTGTTAATCTGTGTATAATTATTTAAGTGTAATATTGTGTAATTATCCAGTGAACCAAAATTCTGAAACAATGGCCAAAAACATGGGCTGCACATGGCCATCATGGCTGTGCCACCTATGACTTGCCGCCCGTTGTTTGGTGAGGATTTCCACCCATAGGGCAGCGGCCTGATTGATCACGAAGACCTCCTTCACTTCACCGACACCTTGGAACAGACTTCGGAGTTGCTGCTCCGTCACCTGACCAGGTGCGCAGAGATCCAGGTGGAAAAAGGGTCTGTTTACCCTCTGGTAAACTAACATAGCTATGGAAAATCACCATTTTTTATAGGTAAATCAACTATAAATGGGCCATGTTCAATAGCTATGTTAAATTACCAGATGGTAATGGTTTTCTTGTGCAATCAATGCTGACGTTTGAGAAAATCCGCGCTGTGTCCATGTATCTGCGTTCGTATGCAAGTATTGGAACAAAGTTTGAAAGAGACCTTCTGGGTTGAGACAAGCAGCAAGTACTCACATCATGTCAAGGTTTCCGTCTATCTTACCAAGGTTACTAAGTCCTGACCAACACACTCACTAACGGAATACT